TACTTAAAAATTTATCATACATATTATTGTTTTTATATATATATATATATATGTATGTGTGTAAAGGGGTACATAGTGTTGATAAGAAGCACAGAGATATATATAAAGTAGTGCGTGTATTAGTATATGACTGAATCAAAATAGATTGTGTTAATAGCGTCACACACACACACACAAACTATAGATTGTGATAGAGGAGATGGTAGCAAGTGAAGGGCATAAAATGGGAGGATACAGCTGGAAATTAAAAAGCGGGGCTGAACTGAATGGGTAAACACACGCGCCACCGCCACCTGCTGCCCGCTGACGCAGAAGCGTCTCCAAACGTATCTCTGTTTCACCGGAGGAAACTTCGCTTGTTGCTTCTCTTAATTGAAAGCTTTTTTCAATAACAAAAAAAATTAAAAGCTTTTTTTTTATTTGGCCAAAAAAATCAACGCTTTTTAGATTTTCTTTTGTTTTATTTTTTTTCCACTGTCCAAGTGGCAGTTGCATATGCCTGCCATTACTAGAGACAACTTCTGTCCAATTTCCTTTTATGGCTGCGTCAACTCACATTTACTATGCGTATGTCAACTCATATTTAAAATCTTTTATTTAAATAATTAAAAAATTAAATGAAGAAGATATGTGATTTCAGATTTAAAAAAACAATACAGAGGTGATGAGTTTTTTTTTATTTTTAAGTTGATAAACGACAAAAATAGATATATTAATAATAAAAATATTAAGAGAATGTAATATTTGATGTAATTGAAATTTTAAATATTTATGGTATAAATGAAATTTGAAATTGTAATAAGAAATGAATTTGAATTTATATCAAATCTAAATCCATAAATTCTTATATATTCAAATAAAAAATTTGATCTAAATTTAAATTTAAATTCAAATTCTCATCAATCTAAACATACCATCACAAAATTTTAGAAATAATACTTTTTAGAATTTCACAATATGCCTTTTGTGAACTTTATAATTTAGGGAAAATTAGGATTAGCTATTAACAAACATATCTGGGGAGAAGGACCTGGAGAAAAATATGCAAATCACCTTGTTCTTCAATTGTTGCGCGCGCGCGCAAAGACTAACGAATCTAGGAACTGACGAACGAGGGAGGCCAAAATTGAAAATCACCTAAAATAGGAGGGCCTACGGCTAATTTTCTCACTTTTTACAAATGAATTAATTTTTGTGTGGAAAGAACAGTAAAATAGGGGGGCACCCCACTACTTTCATTGCTGTATATTTATGTCGATGTATATTTTGCATTAATCTAGGTCCTCTTCCTCAAATATATTTTACAATAGGCCTTTAATCCTAATATTCCCGCTTATTATGAATTTCATGTGCATGTACAAATTAACGAGGTATTATCTCCTGTCTTATTGTAAGACTTCCAACGCCTCAATCAAAGAGTTATCAAATTTTCTTAAAAATAAAATAAACCTTTAATTTTACTTATTAAATAATTTTTTTCAAATTTATATTACACTCTTTCTCATAATTAATGAGTGAAAACAAGAGTAATATAATATTAAAAAAACATAATTATCTAATACCCATAAAGTATGTTATATTAAGGACTAAACAATTCTCCTAGATGATGCCTTGTAATAAAAACTAGAGGGAGTATTTTTGTAGGAAGAATGACAGTTACCTCCCAAAATATTGAATTAATAACAATCAAGTTCCTAATAAATTTTTTTAAAATTAATCGTCAATATCAATTTAAATAATTACAAACAAAATTTTTCAATACAATGTACGAATTACATTTGATAATTAAATACTTATTTATGCTTGAAACTCTTGAATAAGTAATTATCAATATTTTCTACTAATTTTTTAAAAAAATTATCCAATACTCCCTTTAGTCCTATTTATAGGATAGAGACAGAATAATTTTTTTAATCTTACTTATAAGTCATATCATTAAATTTTCATTACAAATTTTTTTACCTACCCTCCGTTGAATATTGAAGAGAAAAAGTTGTTATTGAAGTATGTATATTTAATAAAGATAAAATTAAAAAACTTATTAAATTTTAAGATAGAATTAATGATTTTTAAGATTTTCTTTCATACTGATAAAATATATTGAGAGTGACTTATAAATAAAATAAAAAAATACTTAACTGTCATTAATTTTAAAATTCTAGACTCAACTGCCATCTTCGATATTTTTTAACCTTTGTTGATGGAAAGTCACATGTAATGGAGAGGGCTGTTATAAATTTGGTCATGATTATTTGGGGGGAAAATGGTTGAAAACTTGAAATATCTGCCAAAATGCCGATGACGTGGCGGTGAGCAATTGAAGAACGTGGAGGAAAGGGATCCACCACTTAATTAATCAATGACACCATAATTAACGTTATCCACAATTCCACCTGAAGTTCCTCTGCCCTGCCATCTCAAGAAAACTGGTTCCCATCCAACCTGGACTCTATCCCTACCCGACCCCTCTTCCGCCTTTCCTTTGACTCTCTCCCACCACCCCTTTTCACATTAATTCACCTAAATTACAAAAACTTTAACAAAATTAAGATTTAATAATATTTTTTAATATTAACCTCCCCATTATATTCTCTCTAATATCTTTTCATAAATAAAATATTAAATGAAAGATATTTTTTAAAATTTATATTTTTATTTTAAAAATAAAAGTTATATAATGTATTAATAAGATTTATTGATATTGTAATTTTTTTTAAAAGTATTTTATAATTTGAGACAAAAAAAATATTTATCATATATTTTTTTGTAAATTAAATGGGAGAGAAAAAAGATGGATATCAATTGAGTTAATAAATTAATTTATTTTTTATCTAAAGAGTTTAAAGTTGGATTTTGAGAGCTCATTAACATTATGGCATGTTTTCAGGTAGAAAGCACTTATAGAGATATTCAAACCGCTTATAGATCATTTAACAACAGGTCCTTGCATCTGTTTTGGGATTTATTTTGTGATTTATACAAGGATACTATTTTTATACTTCGTAACAAGTTCATGATCTTCTATTTCACAACGGTATATGCATATTTGTATTCATTATTATTATCAAATTGGATAAAGAAAATGATTTGGGAAAAACCAGAAACACCAATCAAGCAATTTATAATTATTACGTAAAATTTGATTATCATTGCATCGTTTTTTTTTTTTTGGAATCAGTAATGAATATGAATAGCATTTTAACATCCCGTTAATTAAACTATAAATACAATAATTCGCTGTTATATATGTGATCAGATTCAGAAAGCAAATATGCATACTGATATCTCCTTGACTCTTGATTATTAAAAAAAAAAAAATCTAGGCTCTAAACAGGGGAATGCGTGTGAGTTGAACTGGTCTTTCATGTGTTACAGTTGGAATCACCACTGATCTAGCTCACACACAAGTTGTTCTCACGAACATGACATTCCATATGCTTTTTGATAGATTGACACTTTAATAACAAAGACTTTTTGCTAGTATTCCCTTTTATTTATTAATATTTTCTCCAACAGAAGTGACAGCTGAATCATTTGGTCAAGCAAGTATATCAACTTTCTAACCCACTCTTTCCCAATCTATCTCCTGGCTTAGCTACCACGAAGGACGTTTTAGCTAATTAAAAGCTTCCAGCCTTCACATATTCACCTTTGTTCCACGCAAAGCTCGCCGTACGTCCAGGTGTCAATCTATAAAACTCACAAATTTACTTAATTTTATATGATTTTTTTATAAAATAAATACTCCATTCGTTAAAAAATATAAGATATTTTTAATTGATTCTCACTTCCAATAAAGTAATTACTTACTTTTAAATTAACTCTATTTTTTTATATTTACTTCTATTAAACATCCTATAATAAATATAAAATTACTATCAATAGGAATACTTTTAAAAAAAGTGATTATATTTTAAAAGATTAAAAATGCCTTATATTTTTGAACGTTTAACTCCTTAAAAAATGACTTACATTTTTAAATGAACGGAGTATGTAATTTTAAATATTTCATAAACAGATTCAACTTTTATTACTATATTTTTATTAAAAAATTGTTAATATATTTTGTATGGTGTTATTCAAACAGTGCGTATTATAAAATCGAATGCAATGTCAACATGGCTTGACTTAATTAATTGAAGATGTTTAGACTAAATTTTACGTTTTCATATCTGGTCAAAAAGAAGTTTTTACTTTTACATATAACGTTCATCAATCCCCTTTTGAGCTGTAATTAGATACATTTTTTCGTGAATTGCAAAGCATAGTTTGTGACTCACATGATAAGTCATACTTTAAACTTGGGAGCGATCGTGTAACAACATTAGAAGCATGAACAATAAGCTGTTTTCACAGCTTTAGGACTTTAATAATCATTATTAATATATTAATATATAAAATGTACACAAAATGAGATTATAGATAACACAACTTATCTTGAACTCAATATAAATGCAAGAACCACTTTAATTACTATAAAATTTATGACAAGTGGCAAGTCCTGATTTTTCATTTAACTTCAATGTACGTAAGACATGGAAGAATAAGAATTTATCTTGAACTTTATGTAAATACACAAAACTCATTACTTTTGAGTTTACTTAATTAAAATAAAATTTGTAACGAATCATATTATTTACAAGTACGATTTAATTTGTCCACTCAATCTGATACAGAGCAAAAATATCCAAATTTTAAAATACTTAAAATATCGTTGTTTTTATGTTGTAGAAATAATAGGTGACCCCAATTAATGGGACGCATTAGATTTAGTTCACGACGTTGCCTCAAGAAGAGAGTAAAGATGCAGCCTAAGCGCCTAACTACTGGCCAAAAAAAAATGTAGCCTAACTATTTTAGGCGGCAAATGTGGGACCCCCATCCGCAAACTTTCATTTGACCAGTGCCGTTCCTGACTCTCAACCCGGGTTAGGTTTCTTTTATACGACACGGCACGTGTCGTTTTAAGTCATATATATAGTACATGCCCCCTCTTCACCTTCTTTCACATCCGCATAGAAAAAGGAACCAAATCCCAAGCTTACCTTGCCAGAATTCTCAGAGCCTTCGGACTCAGCATATTTTTCTCATTCCTCCTCCTCCTTCTGCAAATACAAATTTAAACACATTCGTCTCTTTTAAAACGAGAGGCACCATATGTCGATGAAGTTAGAGCCGTTGGATTTAGGAGTTCAGATTCCATACCACTTCAGATGCCCCATCTCCCTCGAGCTGATGCTTGAACCCGTTACTATATCCACGGGTCAGACCTACGACCGAACCAGCATCCAGTCGTGGTTTGCCGCCGGTAACACCACCTGTCCCGTCACCAGAGCGACTATTTCTGATTTTACCCTCATCCCTAACCACACTCTTCGCCGCCTTATCCAAGACTGGTGCGTTTCCAATCGCGATTTAGGAGTCCAACGGATCCCGAGTCCGACCCAAGCCGCCCGCCCGGCTGTGGTTCGGACGTTGTTGAATCAAGCATCGTCGGGGACGAGTACTTCTCAGTCGCGTATCTCTGCGCTGCGACGGCTTAGAGGATTCGCTAGTGGCTCCGAGGACAATCGATCTCTAATTGGATCTCACAACGCCCGCCGGATTCTGCTAAATATCCTTTTTGATGCAAATTCGGATTGTTTGGAGTTGAAGCACGAGTCTCTCGCGCTTCTGGTTTATTTTTCACTCGCTGAATCTGAATGGGTCTTCATCGCATCGGAACCAGAGAGAATCAAGTATTTGTCCCGCTTGCTGTTTCATTCCTCCATCGAAGTTCGAGTTAACTCAGCCACACTGATCGAGACCGTCGTGAGCGGGACCCGTTCGCCGGAGCTGCGTGCTCAAATCAGCAATGTCGATGAAATCTACGAAGGTGTTGTTGACATGTTGAAGAGTCCGGTTTCGCACCCTCGCGCTCTCAAGATTGGGATCAAGGCCTTGTTCGCTTTGTGCCTGCTGAAACAAGCACGACATAAAGCAGTGGCCGCCGGAGCGCCGGAGATCCTCGTCGAACGGCTTGGTGATTTCGAGAAATGCGAGGCCGAGAGAGCTGTGGTGACGATTGAGTTGCTTTGTCGAATTCCGGAGGGGTTGGCTGCATTTGCAGGTCATGCTCTGACGGTGCCGCAGCTGGTGAAAACGATACTGAAGATATCAGACCGGGCGACAGAGCACGCAGCCGGAGCGCTACTGTCTCTGTGCTCGAAGTCGGAGGAGTGCCGGAGGAAGGCGGTGGCAGCGCGTGTGCTGACGCCGCTGCTATTGCTGGTGCAGAGTGATTGCACGGAGAGGGCAAAGAGGAAGGCGCAGATGTTGCTGAAGCTGCTTCGGGATTCGTGGCCAAGAGATTGTGTCGGAAACTCTGACGATTTTGCATGCAGCGAACTTGTAGTTCCCTTTTGACGATGCTGCTTGCTTCGTTTGGCGCATCCTCTCGAAAACTTCCTCCAAAATTTCCAGTTTCAGGGAAAAGCAGATCAGATCAGTCATGAATATGATTGAGTTTTAGGTTCATCAGTACATAATACTGCAAGAAATTTTTTTCTTTTATGGGTTCATTCATTCATTTTATGTAAGAATTTGCTGGGAGTATAGAAAATCATCCCAAGAGGTTTTAATTTTGTAGAGACTAACTAATTTGAAGTGTTAAATTCTTTATTTCTATATGTTCATCGTGATTATTGTTGTCAAATTTTTAAGTTAATTGTATGAATTTATTGTTTAATATTTTTAATTTATAAAATTGTGTTAACTCACGCATAATCTCAAATTGAATAAAACTCAGTTAAACTTACTAATTGACTCTTTGAGTTTACGTTTTTAATTTATAAAATTGTATCAATCTACTCATAAATTTATTGTGTGAAACAAGTATATGTCGTGTAAAACTTGATTAATAGAAATGATAGGATTCTTTTTAATAAAAAATAAAACTGAAAAAATAAAAAATAATACTAATAAAAAAGAAAAAAATACTAAAAATAAGTTGCTTTATTTTAAAATTTCTATGTTGAATATAATAATTTATGAATGTAGATAGATTTAATTTTAATGATTTATATTGAAAATATATTTAAATTAAATTAAATTAGATCATATTTTATATTTTAATTATTTAATCATGTATTTTTAAAGACTATTTATTAATAGAAATAAATTTTTATAAATTTACGATTCGAATTTACATCCTTATTATGAGTTTATTTAAACTCGTAAATTTAACAATTTTGTTTGTGATTATTGTACTACTGCTACAACACAACAACACAAGTCTTATCTCACAAGAAGTACTTGTTTATATGTATTGCAAGTGCGATTATATTTAAGTAGCTAGCTTTTGGGTTTAGTAAATTTATTATGATTATGAGTAAGTAATTTATTTTTCCCCTTTTACGTAGGCTAAACTAAAACCAAAATAAATTGTGGTGTTGTGGGGAGAAATTTTTGATAGGTTTAATTTGATTGAGTAGTGTTATTATTACTTTTTTCCTGGCTACTGCCTCAATAGTTTAATTTGATTGTCTAAAAATCCACTATCTTCTACCAATTTAATAACATTATAAGCTCTTTTTTAATGGAAACATGATGAAGTTATAAGTTCTGAAGGAAGAGATTAGCCAAAAAAAATATAGGGAACTAAATTAAGCAGCTTGACTTGTGAATAGTGCTGTATTGAGATAGTGTGATAGCCAAATGGAGAAAGTATACAATAAGGAAACCGAATCATGGCTTGGAATGAGTAAATACGTTGATCTCAGTAAACTGATAGCCAAATAAACCGTTCCAGGCAACCTTGGTCTCGTCCCCTGCCACTCATCGATCATCTTCATTCTGCTCAGCGAGGAATCTAATTTCACCCAGCACCTCGTATTAAGCCAGAAACAGAACCTCTGTGCTTGAAATCCAAACTTTTGACCCCTCGTGCCTCTCAAAAATCTATTATTCCAAAACCTTGATACTGCTTTGACCAATACTGCATATGGCGGCACCATTGGAGATAATTTTCTCTTCCATTGTACTCAAGAACCTCCGTAGTCTCTCTACGCCAAACACAAACCAATCAAAGAAGCCAATCTAAAATAGTTGTCCACACCTCACCTCTGATTCACAACTCTTGATTTCGATATCCGTTCCCAAAACGTTACCATCTTCCTTTGAAATCCCGTACCTGTGCCAATCCACATCTCTAAATCAACCATCCACTCACACTCACCATGAACAGCACAAAACATACTTTTAAGAGCACTTATTTAAAAGCGCTTATGGAGAAAAGCACTTTCATTATTATATATGAAAGATACAGGAGCACTTTTTAATAAAAGCACTCAAATATGTGTACTATATAAGAACGTTCAAAAAGTGAGCACTCTTGTACATTAGTAAAAAAATGTAAAAATAAAAAAAATTACTTAGAAGTGCTCTCAAATAAAGCACTCCTAAAGATTATATTAAAAAAATTAGTATAAATTTTTAAGAGCGCTTATATAAAAAGCACTTATATAGATTAGATTTTAAAAAAAATAAAGTATAGCTTTAGTAGCACTTATTTGATAAGCACTCCTAAAGATTATATTTTTTAAAAAATTAGCATAAATCTTTAGAAGCGCTTATAAGAAAAGCGCTCCTGTAAGTTAGAATAAAAAAATAAATTATATCTTTAGGAGCGCTTATATGATAAGTGTTCCTATAAGTTGTATCAAAAAAAATTAGCATAAACCTTTAGGAGTGTGGATATAACTTTTAATGTTTAACTATTTTGTTTTTGAATTGATTTTTTTAATATTGATATAGAATGATTGTCACTTGTAATAAGTAGCAAAAGATAGTTGTCATTTGTAATAAACAGTAAAAGATATATGGAAAGATAATAAAAAATTTGTATGAAAATTTTACAAAAAAACTATTGGAGCACTCTTAATAATAGCACTCTTGTATCCTAACAAACATAAGCGCTCTTTGAAAGTGCATTCTTGTAGGATGGCACTTATAAAAGTGCTCTTAATAAGAGAGCTCTTGTAGTAAAATACAGAAGAACTTTTATAAGGAGCACTTTGATATGTATTATATTGTTTTTTTTTTTGAAACTTATGAGGGCTCTTTTATTAATAGCGCTTCCATAAACAAAAACCTATAAAAGCGCTCTTATATGTGTAATCTATAAGAGCGTTTTAAAAGTGTTTTCATATATACAGGAGCGTTGGATACGTGAGCGCTTTTAAAGTGCTTTTGTTAACAAAAAAAAAAGCACTCCCATAATTTATTTTTGTTGTAGTGTCAAAAAGAATGAACTTGTCAAACACAAGAAAAACCCTTTAAAATTTTGATTGATTCAAGGGGAGGGGAGGGGGACATCCCCTCAAATTGCAGGGGAGGTTTTAGAAGGGGAACCTCTCCTTCTCTCCAATCAAACAGGCCTAAGATGAGGGAAAGGGGGGCTCGGCGAGCATGCCTCTACAAGACCGCAAGCAGCCCGGTCTCGCAAGGGTGAAGAAAACCTTAGGAGAGGGAAAAAAAAAGCATCCCATATTCCCAAAGTTAAATAGTAGTATATATGTAATATTTGTGAACTTCAAATAATCTGACAATCTTTATTTTGTTAAGTTGCAGTGCGTGTAATTAACAAAACGGGACATCGATTTTTTTTTTTAAAGTGTACTGTAGTGGTAGTGGAATAGGTCATGTGGTCCTTAATTGATTGCAAAATGTAATAATCAAAAGACAGTATTAAAAGTAAGATTCTAACAAAGAATGCAACATATGTGAAGGAGTGCTACTGCTAATAATACTGCCTTATTTGATGGCAGCTGTATGAATAGTTACCATGCCTTAATGGCCACATTTCCTTTTACGCTCAGTGATGTCACAGCACTCGTGTTGACCATTTCAAACTAGCCAACACTCAAAACTACTTGATGACTACTAATCCACACTCAATCATCGGGGGACCAATTTAATTAATCAATTAATGGATGAAAAATAAATATTAAATTTATTCTGATATATATTCTTATTCGATCGAGGATTCTAATTAATGATTTTTTACCGGTGGCTCTAAGAAATGGGAAAGGGGTGAAGGATTCACAGTAGAAGCAGGGAATGACAAAGTAATAGAAATAAAGAGTTGGAAAGGGAATCACAAAAGAGGGACATTGGACTTGGTGATCATCATGTTTCCCATTCATTGTGGTGGCAATTTTTGCTTCGCTCCTCAGTCACTAACTCTGGCCATTCCAATCCCTTTCAATCTATTCTTCCCACCCTCCAGAGCCTTTTAGAATTCTTCCTTTTAGTTAAAATCAAAATTATATATATTTTTTAGCTAAAATATCCCCATTCTTTAATTTTATATAAAATTTTATTTTAATTGTTTAATTTTACAAAGTATATTTTTAATCTTTTAATTCTAATATCATTAATTTCATAGTAAAAAAATTTTACATTAAACTTTTAAATATTAAAAAATATTATCAAATATTGACATATTAAGTTTAATTTTTAAAAAATTAAAAATAATTAACACAAATAATAATCATTTAAAACTATCTGTGTTTGAGTTAAAAGACTGAAAATATACTTTATAGAATTAAAAAATTAAATTAAAATTTTATATAAAATTAGAGAATTAAACATATATTTTAACCTATTCTTTTTATAAAATTAAACTTCATTGGTTCTCTTTTTTTTTTTTTGAAAAAATAAACATAGTAAGACCAGACTTTAAGTAAACAAGGCCTATTCTATTTATGAAAATATACATAGTTATAACCTTAATTTTTTTTTGGGGTAAACATACCCATCTAAAATTTAAGTAGGCCAGGTTGTATAGGCTCTTATAAGCCAGAGGGCTGTTTACTTATTTTTAATATTTTAATAAATTATATGTAAATTATATTATAATATATATTATATATAATGTTATATATATTTGGTTATATTTGTATAAAGTGGGGAATGATGATATTCAATTAGTATAATATAAAGTGAAATTTTTCTTAGTTTAATTTCTAACTTATAAAAAATAAAATTTTAAAATAAATTAGTAAATTTACATTAATTATATTTGTATTTATATATTAGAGGTTTTTGTAGATATAACTCATATTATAAGACCAAACCAAAACAAAAGCCCAAGATTTATTATATTTTAGATTATGACCTATTCATTATATCTATCAATGATATATTGTTGTATATTAATGATAAATTTTTTATAAATTTTCATTGATAAACTTTTGTATATTAATTATAAAACTCTTGTATATCAATGTGATGGAACATGATAGGATCAGAGGTAGTAATTAACGAGTGATTACTTGTTGGAATATGATCTACACTTATCATTTCTCATAATTAAATTCTTTTATATTCTTGAACTTGTCAATTAGCTAAATGAATTCTTGTTAAATGTAAATGGGTGCTTGTTAATTAATAAATAAATATTTATTGAAACATAATTCATACTTGTCCAGTCTCATAATTGAACTCATCAATTAGTGAGTGATTTCTTGTTAAATATGAATGATTACTTGTTAAAATATAATTTACACTTGTCCCTTTACACAATTAAGCTCTTCTAAATTTTGAACTTATTAATTAGTGAACGGCTTTCTGTTAGATACGAATGGATAATTGTTAATTCACAAATAACTATTTGTCAATTAAAAAAGAAAAAAAGGGTATTATAATTTTTCTTTATCTAAAATTATTTTTAAATTAATTTTTTGATCTTATAGCGATATTTTAAAATTTGTTTGATTCTTATTCTTTATTCATCTTAAATATCTTCAACAGTTCTTGAATGAGATTTTCCTTATTTAAATGTTACGTATAATATGATGTAATGATTAAATTATTTCCGAGTTTGAGAGAAGAATTTGAAAAATGATCTTATTCGTTGGGTACGCGGTCTACAAATGATTAGGGGCCATTTGTTCGAATCGTGGAACGACAGACAATTTTCAGAGTACGAGGTTGGTATTGTGTTTCTTTTTTTTTCTTTTTCTTTTTCTTTTTTCTTTTTATTAAAGAACGGGGCTAGTTGGTATCGTGGTTCTATTGTGAAAGAACTGTTAAATAAATAAAATAACATCACAGAAACATAATGAAAACTAGATTCCTTCTCAATCAATGAGAACCGAACATGAAAGTCCTTATCACCCTGCTATTTCAGTAGTGAAAGATAGAACTCGCTTTGGTACTCAATCTCATCTTCTGTTTTTTCTTTTTTTTTAAAAAAAATAATCAGAGTTTGCTCAGCCTAATGCCTGAGCATGTTATTATAATTCAAAGCAATAAATCTTAGCTACAGCAGTGGAGGGAGCAGTTAAACTAATACTTTCTCTGTTTAAAAATATCAAATATTCTTTAAAAAATTTAATGTTAAAAAATATAAAATATTTTTAATTTTTCAAGTTATATTTATTACATTTTTTTAAAAAGTATCCTTATTAAATAAATTACTTTATGTTTCTTTTAAAGTAAAACATCTAATTAAATATAAATAAATATAAAAAAATAGAATTGATTTAAAATAAATAATTACTTTATTAGAGGGAGATTCAATTAAAAATATCTTGTATTTTTAATAGGAGGGAGTGAGTCCTTTGCCTTCCCAAAGGACATGATGCATAGTTAATAATTTATATTTTATTAGTTTTAAATAGATAACCCCTCTTATCTCTATTATAAAGCATCTTTAAAAATAATTAACTTTGTTTGAAGATAAAATACGTTTCTAATGTTACCCTATTTAAATAGAAAATTTTTAAACTTGCATTGTATTCTCTGTTATAATTAACAATTTTAAATATAAGTGATATTGAAAAAAAACTTAATTATTAATAATCCATTGAGTGACTTCTAATAAAAATCATTCATCTCTTTTGAAAAATACCTTGCAACAAGGATCAGAGAGTGTATCTCAAATCAATATACAACATATATTTATAGGAGGCTACAATATTTATAACCAGTATAAATAATATGAGTAGTTTTTCAAAAAAGAAAATCATTCAAAACTTGAAAACATGTCTTATTTTAAGTAATGTTAATTCTAATTTGGCCAAAAAAAAAGTAATCTTAATTCTAAGAATATTTTTCTATTTGATTGGAGAGAGGTTCACGAGAACATACACTTTTATCATAATCTTTTGTATTTGGCTCACAAGAAGTATTTAAAAAACATTTTATTACCAAAAAAGAATTTATTTGTCTCTGGGAAATACTAATTAAAGATGGCATATGGAGAGACAAAAGAGAAGCTGTTCACACCCAAGTATATCTTTGACTTAATAACCTTGTGATTTTACACTGACACACAAATTCCCCTCTCTAATAATTGAGTATTAAAGATTTCAATTAACAAATATTGCTAGGTTGAAATTTTATGCATTTAAATGATTGGAAGGTGAGATATAGCTATTCCGTTTCCGCTTTTAGTAGTGCTGAGGAGTCAAATAGATATTCATAGATTTAGTTTCTTTGGTTATTGGATTGTCATCATTGGAAAAACGTTCAATTTATAACAACCAAATGATTAGATATTATGCTTGAGTGAGTTGAATATAATATGACCTGTAAATAATGTTTGAATTTGTGAGTTATTGATGAAATTAATGCTTCCTTTTTTTTGGCGAAATGATGTGTTATTTTAAAAAAAAATGCAAATTTAGTGTTCCATTTTAAATTAATGAAGTATTAAAAAATATAAATTTAGACAATCTAATATATAAAATATTGAAGAATCTAATGTGCTCCAATATTTTAGATTAATAATTTAATATGTGTATATATATATATATATGAATAGATACGCACATTTTTAGCTTAATTAAGCAAAGAATCTAGTGTGATAAAGACAGAGATCCTCAACGGAGTATCTGCTGACCTTTCGACGTCCTTTTTCATTTTATTTTTTTGTCAGCCAATGAATACAAAAAACCCTTCAGTCCATGTTAAACTTTAAAAGAATACATAGAACTTCCAAAAAACTTAAAAGTATGTTTGGTTGGGGGATTTTGAAGGGGAGGAAAGCATCCCCTGATTTGGTTCAGAAAATTTGGAGGGAAATTCTCCCTCCCCTCCCCCTATATTGCTCCCTTTTCATTTGAGGATTTTTGGAGTTAAAATTTTTGACCATTTTGCCTTTGATAGCTCATCTCCTCACTAGCACTCTTTCCTTCTACCATTCGAGTTACAATCCACCATTCCCAATCGAGTTGCAGTCCGCCATAACAACCATAACTCAACCAACAATCATTCATGTTTTTTGAAGCAAAACTAGAGATCTAAATATAGTACCTTGGAGTGGGGGAGAGAGAGAGAGCATGATAAATCTGATGGACAGTCTAATGGAGGGTGCTGTCATGATTTGAGAAGATGCAACAATTTGATGGAGTGAGTGAAGGGAGAGAGTGAAAATGAGGGGGAGAGGGTGAGGAGCAAAGAGCGAGAACGAGGGTAAGGAGCAGAGGGCGAAAGAACGAGGGCGAGAGAGCGAGCGGTGAGTTGAGAGATGCAGAGGGGAAAGAGATGCAAGGAATACATATTTTAAGAAATGTTAAAATTAAAATATTACAATTAATTTGAGAATTTATAAATAAAATAATTTAGTTCTAAATAAAAAAAGCTGTGTAATTTGGGTTAAGGCATAAAATTAATTTACATAAGGAATAATTAAAAAACATAAAACTCAAATACAAAGATATAATAATAAATTAGTTAATACCTCTCATTCCTTCCCCTCCTAAACCAAATGAGATATCATTAAAAATTACTCCCTTCTTTTTCATTAAAACCAAATAAGGTAATATTAAAATCTTTCCTTTCCTTCAAACCAAACATAACCTAAATTATAAAAAAGATTAAAATTTAATTTTACCCTCAAATGATAATCTCAAATGCATCTAATATCCTAAACTCCATTTTTTCCTCACATTACAAAAGCCTCCAATTTCTCATCCCATCGCTATCTTCTTGAAACAAAAGAATACAAGTTTCACTATATGGGTGAGGAATATATGAAGTCAGTGGTGGAGGTATGACTCGGAGCTAGTGAGGGCAAAATTATTTTTGATAAGACACGAATGATATACTTTATTTATTAAAAAATATAAAGTATTTTTTTAAAAGTTTAATATTAAAAAAATATAAAATATTTTTAACATTTTAAGATGTATTTGATATATCTTTTCCAAAATATCCCTAATAAATAAGTTATTTTATATTTATTTTAAATTAAATACCTTACTAAATAAGGATAAATGTAAAGAGACGGTGTTAATTAAAAGATATTTAATGAATTAATTAAAAGTAAAATTCGATTAAAAATATTTTATATTTTTAAAAGGAATGAATATACTTTACAAATAGCAAAATTTAATTTGCCAATGTATAGAACAATATAACTAAATTTTATTTCGTGCACAAGAATTGATATTCAAACTCTAATAACTTGTTTAAACAATAATGAACCCCTCAACAACTTGATTTGCTAAAAAAAATTAAACAGCAAATTGTATAAAGGTCAACACTATTTTAAACTACATAAATGATTTTAATAAAAATCTAGAAAATAATTTAAAAATAAAATAAATGTTTCTACTAAAAAATAAAAATTAATCAGTTTCAAATATAAACTCTCAATAACAAATAATCATTTATAATAGTTAAATTATTTTAACATCTCAACCACCTCTCACAACCGACCATTCCAAATTTTCATAATCTCATCAATCAACTTCACTCGTTCCAATATTTTAAATATAAAATTCTTGATCCAATTATTGCCCTCTCTTCATTTAGACAAATTTTGCACACTAATCCCTTACATAGATCAATGTAACTGTCATCTCTCTCCCTCTTTCTTCCTCTTCCCTTGTTTCTCTCTCAATTAGTGCGTTCAAAACTAGCATATCAATAACAGCAAATTAAAACCCAGTTCATATTTTACACGAGATATCACAAGACCCTCAAATGTATGCGTGTCTGCCACCGCAGGAAGTAACAAGTAAAGTAAAATTTTTGACATCTTTGAAAAAAGAAAAACTAATTAAAATATAAACATTTTTATGCAAAGGAAAAAAAAAAACTTAAATTATAATATTCCACTCAGTTTTATTTATAAGATCCTTTTAATCAAATTACAAAGATTACAAAAAATGATTCCAATAGTTTTTGTTCTTTGATTTTGTTTGTTTTTTTTGAATAAAAAAGGATAAATATAGCTAATTCAAAAGAAGTACAAATTCAAAGTACAAACTAAATAAATCTATCATCAACTATTTCCATTCAAGAATGGTGGTTTTTGATTAAAAAAATATACAGCATATTACCAAAGGAATGGCAAGAGTGGGCTAAGCAGGTAAGACAGTTAGCTTCTCTAAACATAAAATATAGATTAACAATCCATGTTTTGCAAAGAATAAGTTGGTCTTATCCACAATCTGTTGAAAAGGATGATTGGAAACTTGTTCCTAATATAATAGAATAGTTCAACTTTAGTGAATCCATGATACCAACAAAATTCAATTATAAAATATTACCCTGACAATCCAAAAGTATCTAATATTGCAGTTTTTAACTTCTAACTTAAAAGTCAAATGTATACCTTGTAAAAGTGAGGATCATAGTAATGAAAAATATTTACAGATGCTATAAAAAGTTTTGATACCATAGAAAGCTTTTAGATATAGCCATCAATTAGGGCTTGACTTGAGGACTAGCCTGTTCAGGCCTTTTGATAAGATGAGGACTCACCTAAAACTTAGATTCTAAGATTGGTAAAAAAGCCAAGGGGCCTGCGGGATGGGCCCAGTAAACAATTTCATGAGCTTGTCTATATTCTATACATGGACATGTAGCAACCTGTAAATACCCTCTCACGAATCTTCTTAGCTTGTTCCATTATGCCTGTAATTAAGTAGATTACTAAGAAACTGATTTAGGAGGAGTAGATTTCCCTTGCAGTTGAAGTACAGACCAGGGAGGCCGTTTGTTGTGTTCCTGCACATTAATCATAATCAAAATTAATGTTGAGTTGGCTTCACAATCTCTTGTGCCGGAAGGGACTTTGGATTGAATCCCACCCTCCTTGAATATGAATCGATATGTTTATAGACAATGGATCAAGAGACAAAAAGCTACAATTACAAAGTCATAAAGTTTCCCGAAGAAGCAAGACTAACTGAATATCACAACGACTCAACCATCAACATGAAAGGTTTAGTCTTTTATCCATTACAGGCAAATTATGTAATGTTAATAGTCCAGATGTTGTATACTCTTTTCTTGAAGATTGTTATGATGAATTGGCACTTTGAACACTTATCCTAAGGTAACTTTAACGTACAAACTTCTGGCTGGGGGTGGGAGGTCTGACTGCACTTATCCTAAGGTAACTTTAACGTACAAACTTCTGGCTGGGGGTGGGAGGTGTGATTGCACTCATCAGAAAAATATTTGCAGGCTAAACAAGAACAGAAACAGAGCAAAATGTATCTAAATAGCAAGATTACATTTAAAACTGTAAACAAATGACACACCTCAATTTTCGTCACAAACTGGCAGGAGCAACACCTAACTTGGGACGCGCCATATGGGTACATTAGCAGTACTGCACAGCTCCCACACTTGACTTGCCCAACCTGATCAGCTGTATAAAGGATTGCATTACCAATATCAATAGCTTGCCACAAAAAGAAATGCTAGAATATAGAAGAGTTTTGCAAAATATAACTTCAATTTAAGGAAGAAAACATGCATGATGCAGAATTTACTTATTCATATGTAATACTTAACGTAAGATTTGCACCAATTGTATAATTGCTTCTGGCATGATTGATGTAACCAAAATGCATAAAACTGAAATCAAAATGCAAAGTTGAGATTTGCAGCAGCTACAATAGACAGAAGAAAAAGGAAAGAGAATCAACCTTCTAACACAAGATTTACTGTCTGACAGCAAGAACACTTGACATGTCTGGCACCTCGTTGATATGAAAGAAGGCGATGACAAGAACCACAAACCATTTGAGCCATTTCTGTTGGAATAGCTTGCTCATGAGAGTCATGAATTCATCAGAAAGGGATGCCCTTTTAGGCCTAAAAAAAATTGCAATGCCATAGAAAACTTTTACATTGGAACAAGGAGCAAGGAGAGAACATTCAAGGTTCTTCTTAGAATTACTAGTGACATTACACTACCAACTTTTTGGGTAAACAGCACACAGGAGAGGAAACTCAATCTTCATTCAAAAGATGATCTTGCACGAAGAGGTTGAAACATGCATCACATTAACTGGTTGTTGTGACAAAATAATAGCATAATTCCATAATTGGAGTCATATCTCTTGTTTGTTTGTCATTTGAATTCTTTGCATACTTTGACACGTTATAAAATGACATCCAAATAGGAAACAAGCAATCATTAATAATAATATAATCAGTAGTATACAAATAAATTAGTCTTAATTATAAAAGATCAAAATAAATATAAATACGTTTTCATACGATAAACTATGTCTCTATTGATAAGATATTCAAACACCTTGGATTTTAGAATTCTTAGAACAGTCAAAAATAAATTCTTCTGAAGTAATTGCCTTGTAACTCTTAACAAGAAGTTTTATCCTACTAAGTAAAATTGCTACTTGGACAACAATGCCATTGAGCTCTCTCTAAAACGAACTATCTGGGCATGTTATTTACCAAAAGATTACGTTTGAGGACTTCCTTGGTGTGTCCTTCATGGTCTCCCTCTATTTTTTTTTTTAAAAAAAGCCTTTAAGGATCACCTTATCAACTCTCTTTACCTGGCAACTCAAACAGCCTTCTCTACACGTCTAAACCACCTTGATTTTCAACCATTTTCTTTCGGATAGGCGACATGCCATCTTTTTCTTGTATATAATCTAATGGGTACCTAAGTTGGATGGGAAACCCTACCTCAAAAGCTAGCTGTTGATGTAAGATAACCAACCCACTTATACATCCCATTGAGCATCCCATACTACTCAATGTGAGACTTGATATCCCATACTATCAAGTCTTCATCAATTGGCCCCCATGAAAAGATGACACCCAACGGCTGCACTCCACAGCACTTAACTCGGTCTCTTTCCTGTTAGAACCCTCTGTGGGTAGCCCTCTCCAAACTGCAGACAACGAGGCTTATACCAATTCTTAAGTGAGATGGAAAACTCTATCCCAAAAGTTAGCTGTTAAAGTGGGAGAACCAACCCACTTATATAGCATCTCATACTACTTAATGTGGGACTTGCTATCTCATACTACCAAGTCTCCATCATAATCATTTTGAATCTCATTTTTTCTTGTATGACCCCACATCATCTCAACATTTCCATCTCTACTACCCCATCTTTTCCTCTCATTGTCCAGAATTCCCAACCAGGACAGAGATGGTCAGGGTGCGAGGAAACAAAGAATCTTTGTTTTCAAAGTCATCCATCCATTCGTTAGTTTTGTTTCTTTTTCATCCCCATGGCATTGCCATTATTGATGTACACACTTTCAATTTTCAGAATCAAAATTCTTGATCACCCATCCACACAAATCACCAGAAGATAAAAGATTTGTCCCCCCCCCCCCCCCGAGTTTGACTGCCGCAAAATTAGATTCATGGGGATTGGGGAAAATTTATGAAGTTTCATTACTCCCTAATTCCATAAATGCCGTCATATTATGTAACATTACAAATCAAAAACAGAACAGCCGAGCCACAGTGACCTGATGGGCAGAAGCCCAAAATTCTGAAACCTAGCTTCGTAAGACAGGCTCCCTTTGCGACTCTCAGAAGACTACTTTTGATTCTTGGAAAATGAAATTACAGAATCACTAAAAAAAAAAATCGATGAAGATAAATCACATCAATAGAAGATTATCAACGACGCAGACAGGGGAAAGCATTAAGCAACTCCAAGATCTATTAGAAAAAAGTACCGTGGACGAGAGGAGCGACGGCTACAACGACTCGGAACAGAGAACCAGACGGCGGACGCCTAACTTGGAACAGTGAACATAAAAGGCAAAGAAGTGCGTCCGACGCCGGGAAGTCGAAAGCCACTACTGGTTCGATGATAGGCTCTGAAATTGATTACTAGGCCTCATCCAAATAGGTTCTCTGCAGCCGGTTCGCAAAGATTGAAGTAGCCGCGATGTCGGTGTGCAGGTGTGCACGCAGCGCGTGGAATTTGATTGTATAATTTTTTTAAAAAAGATTTTGAATAAAATAGAGTGCCCGGAAAAAGGGGCCTGGATAGTGGATTGTCCGCAGTCAAGTGCAGTCAGAAAATCTCATCCTTTGGTGTAATTTAATCCCTCTCTCCATAGCTTGCCACCTCTCGTCAGTCCATTCTTTGAGATTTTTTGTTTTTCCAAAAAACAAACACGTAAGAATTGATGGACTGCACACAATCGAGGTCTGGGAATGGGGTTGTTGGCAGCCTATTTTAAAAACAGTTTTTTATTTTTAAAAATAATATTTTTTTTATTTTTTATTTTTAAAACACTTTTTGATTTTTTGAAAAATAAAGAGATGAAAACAATTATTTTTATTATTTTTTCTTACAATAATAAAATAAAAATAATTTTAAACAGTCTCATACATTTTCACTTATTTATTTGGGCCTTGTACAATTAGAAGAATAACAACTAGGTCTTAAAACATTAAATTAATAATAGTGAAGTCCTCGATAATTTTTTTAAAAATAGGCTTAAATTATTTATCCAAATAATTACAGATCCAAGAATTTGAACTAGAAATATATATTTAAGTATTAAATATAAATATTAAATTAAAACAAAAATTTTTATTTACAACTTTTTAAATTTATATTTATAATCTATTTTTTTTAAAAAAAAGTTTGTCAGGGATTTGATTGTCATTAATTTCATTATTTGGAACTTAATTGTCATTGTTCCTAATTTCTTTGTTATGGGCTAAAGTCAGGTTCTTGGAATTGGCCCAAATTTTTATGGGTCTCTCTCTCTCTCTCTACACACACACACACACATGGCCACATCAAAATCGTGCAAAACGATTAAAATTTAATCATATCTAAAATTTAGAGATTGCTATATTCATGCAAGGGGTAATTGAAAATTGTAATATTAAAATTTGTCTGAGATGTCCTATGGGCCAAGAGATCTATGTATCTATTTGCTTTTTTTATAAATATAATTAAAGGTGACTACTTAATCTCTGATAGTGAGATTTCTGATTTTTTTTAATGATATCAAATAAGAGATAACTTTCTCAATAGTTGTGGCTAATGAGAGACAATGCCTCCATTGAGTTAGAGTGGATATTGATTCTAGATAGTTTTTTGTTCCAACAAAGATTAAGGCCTTTGAAGATTTTCATAAGCTTTGTTATTGTGCTAGGTTGATAACTAATATGTTTGAAAAATCTTTTAATTCAATTTTCTTTATTATCTCTAATAATGCCTCCACAAGTTGCAACGCCATTAATGTTAACCGAGCCATCGGTGCCAAGTCTAACTCATCCATATAAAATCATACTTCTAGTTTTGGATCCCTCGAAGAGAAGGCATCAAGCTAGGATAGTTTCATTTCTTTTTCTTTTCTCTCTTTTTATTTTTGACCGTGTGTTTTTTTTATTGCTTCTTTTAATTGGTTTTTTTACGTTAGATTGTATAATATTGTACAGTTTCTTTGTTTGTGGGATTTTCTCACGAGAAATAAAACAAATAGATGATGTATCGTCTTACAATATTCCCTAATCAGAAAGAAACCTTCGTAATTGAAAGTTTTGAAGAACCAGTAACAAAACAATTCTAATACAAGGATCAGAGATTTGTGATAATGAGATGGATAATTAAGAGTCATCTCTTCCAAGTCGACGCACCATTTGTTCAACATTCCAATCAGAAAAGCCATCAAGTTGTAAATGCTTCTTATTTTAAACGTTACTTTCTTCAACCCCTTTATTTTCTTCCATGCAATTCTCCTACACATTCTTAATGCGTCATCAAATTAAGCTACATTCCTCGCTTGCCTGATATGCCTAAAAGAAAGTGTAAACCTACATAAATGAAAATTATTGAACACAAAGATGTGTATGCGTACCTTCTTAGGATCACTGACAAGGGTAAGAGTTACTAATTTTGATATTCCTTCCAAGAAACTAATTAGAACATGACCCGCATTATCATTATCCACTTCTGGCCACACCTTAATACAAATTAAAGCGCCGTTCAACATGAATTTCAATGTGGCAAACGTTTCCAAATGAAGTAAGTGGCCTTCCACGTAAATTCTGCAAAGCAAAAAAGAAAGCAAAGGAAAAGCCAGCTTGTTCAATTTTCCTTATAAATTGTGTGCTAAAACTCCTCTTAGATGTTCCACTGTTAAGATACTCATGATGCGATGACCAACATATATTTGGATCTGGATTCGAAGTGTCCCAAATCTTTTCAGCCTGTGATTTTTCATACTGCGGTAGGATTTCATCAACACTTGAAAAGTCATGATTAATCAGAAATAAATGAAACAGTGAGTTAAAGGACAGCTTTGTGATAATGCATTTCAAGTATTTCTCTGCAGCCATATAAATAGTTGGATGAAGGTATTGGACATAGAAAAATGTATAACTGTGATTTGATATTTTATCTGTGTATCTTGTGCCAAAATCTGTGCCAGCCAACCGTTTAATTGAATGGACGATCTCTAATTTTTACCACTAGCTACTTCAGACAGCCACTACGCACTGCCACATCTTCCAAGTTAATTAAAGACAAAAAAAAAAATCATGAATTACTAACCTTGATTATGTTCATATAGGTGTGTAATATTCTCGCCCAACGTATAGCTTCAACCTATAGCCTTGTAGACGTCTTTCCAGATAAGTCTTTGTAGATTAGGTGCATACATCTCAGCTACAGTCTCAGTCACGTTAACCATATGCATATTAGTTTTATGAAGGCAGGGAAATATACATCGCAAATGACGTAACTCAAGGCTTGTATTCGTTTAGTGCTGATCCTCACAGGTTTTGAAGCTGCACGCATCAATATTGGATGGTTAAATTAATCCTCCAAACTTGAGCTTCGTATTACAAGGTCTAATTGTTTTAGGTAAGTCACTCGCCTTATTGATACCCTCAAGGAATAAACTTCTTAATGATGGGAAACTTAGAGAAACCCACTTGCCAACTGAATAATCAATTTTAATAGGGTTAAAGGTCATTTTTGCCTCTTAATTTTACCTAAAAAGTCATTAAAAAATTTAAATTTAATTATAGGTCAATTCTGTCTCTTAACTTTAAAAATTCTCTCCTATCACCCTATCATTTTCTCACCATTCAAAAGTCCCACATTACATTTTTTTTAATGTTTTTTATTATCAAATATTTGAATTGAAGGTGCTTACTCTTCTTTGGAATAAAACTTAGAGGCAAAAATATCCTTAATCTAGTAAAAAAAAATAAAAAATAGTGGGAGTCAGTAATGACTAATGAATATTAAGTGTTTTTTATGTCAAGATAATGGAGGAAAGAATTTTTAATGTTGAAGGATAAAATTAACTTATAATTAAAATTAAAAAGTAAAAATTACTCTTAACTCATTTTAATAAATCTCCCATGAAAATTGATCAGAATGAGTTTGCTCATGTTTAGTTTTAGAACTTTCAAGGACCGAAATTTGGAGAGGCTTTGAAGATAGAAGCAACGTTGTAATCAAGAGAGACCTCATCAACATGAAAAGTTTGAGACAATTTATTGATCCACTACTTGTGAAGCTCACAGTAATTAGTTTCGATGCAGAAAGATGAGAAAGAGAGTCAGTCAATTTTCAAAGCACGAGGACAATGTTGCAGAATAGTATTCATGAAATCAAAGAGATGCATGCATGAGCAATCAAGAAAAGGATGACGGGGTTGATATAAGGAGGAGAAGAGGAAAGGGGTGTATATGGGGGTTAGGGTCTGGAACCTTGATGACACCTTGATCCTTGACTTGTAAGCTCTATTTCAAGGAGAGAAAAAGGGAGGAGAGGGAAGGAAATGGAGGGAAAGGGAGGTGAGGAGGGAGGGTAGGGGGACATCCCCCAAATAAAGGCAAGGGAGGAGGTTTTGGAGGGGAGGGGAGGAAAATTTTTTAAAAGTCTTTCCTCTCCTCTACCTTACTAAACAAGCTCCCCTCTCCTTATTTGGTAGAGTGGAGGGTGGGAGAGATTTTTTAAAATTTTTTCTTTCCTTCTATCCAAGCAAATATTACTTTAATATTTCATGAAGTTCGAGGAAAGAGAAAAGATGTGGTGAAGAATGGTACCTCGTAGGTGGCTCAATAAATCTCTTGATTCTTCTTCCATTGTACGGTAAGGATATAAAGCAAAGCACTTTAATCTTTTATAATGCCTCCACACACACACACACAATGTGGTGAAGAATGGTACCTCGTAAGTGGCTCAATAAATCTCGATTCTGCTTGCATTGTACGGTAACGACATAAAGCAATAGTGCCCCCCCCCCCCCCCAAACACACACACACACACACACACACACAACCTTATGTATAAGTCGTGATAGTGGTTGTGACCTTTCCCGCGGCAAGCCGGCAACTCGCAATTAACAACAGAGAGAGAGCAGGATATTTGTATATAGGACGTTGTTTTTTATCCAAGTAATTACCACTGACAATCTAAAATATTTAGCATTCATGTTTTCTAAATCCAGCCATTGAATTTAAAATATGATTAATAAATTGATTATACTTATTAATTTCTAATTGTTATTGTTAATATTATTTAATCTTAAATAGATATTGTTACTGAGAGTAGCTTGTTGTCACATCAATCAAACAAACTAAATAAAAAATGATTAAAATCGTTCCTTCTATTGTAGATAGAAGTGTTTTTTCACAACTGTAATGTAATGCAATATTCGAGTCAGAAATTCTGCTATAGAGAATTAGTACAATAACAATTACAAACTTACAATATAAAAAAAAATCTAGAAATGAAAGCTTTTGGAAAAGTTGATAGATGATGACTCCATTCCATTAATTGCTAACTCGATCAAGCGTATCCCCCAAAATCTAACTAATGAATGTGATAGATTTTATACCAAAATCTTAATTTGATCAACAAGTTTGATCCGTAACCCAGCATAAATATAATGACGCAGTGAAGAAGTGAACCACAAAGCCACTGGTCTGGTCAGATTGGGTTTATTACATTTTTTTCCCTATAAATGTTTTTATTATGTTTTTATTTTTTACAATGGGTTTGTTATGTTTTATCTCTACATATATATTCACATTTTTTCTTGATATATTTTTTTTCTCTTTTACCATATCCAGTAGAATGTTAGAGCATTCCAATTATTTTTTTTAATTTTTTGATTATATATAATTTATATTTATTTAAATCCTCCACAGTAAAAAAATGTAGATATATACTACATTCAATTAAAAAAAAAGAGATAGGGATAAAACAACTTTTAGTCCTTCACATTTAAGGTTTTATCAATTTGATATCTCAATTGTAACTTTTATCATTTTAATCTTTAACATTTGCTTCAATTATCAAGTTGCTCTTTTAAGTTTTTGTAAAACAAAATAGCTCTAAAAAAATTAATGGGTACAAAAAAGAAAGAAATTAGATTTTTGACTTGGAAATATATGTAGATTAAATTACATCTAAATACATGACATGGAAATACATGTAATTAGGACTTGATATACTTTGTTGATGTGCTTTTCTTTTCTTTTTTATCCATGTATATATTCTAAGTTAGAAATACTCTATAGATCATTTATCAATAAGATTCTTATATTAGTAACAGAATTTGGACTCATAATTTTATATGTTATAAATAAAATATTTATTAGTCGGACCAACAATCTGTGTTGGTTGTATTTTGTCATACTTTATTGGTTGAAATTTATACTCTTTATACTTTTAAAAACATTTGAGGCTTAATTTAGCCTTCGTAAAAAAGTCGGAGCAGTAGGCTTGGCTCTAAAACTCCTGTTGTTTGGGTTGGGACTACGGAAAGCTAAAAGGGCAACAGGGCTCTCGAACTCAGCTTCTGATAATATAAATGGACATAGATATCGATACAAGTGTGGATCCCACATTTGTCAAATAACAAAAAAAAATTGAAAAAACTTGGATTAGGGTAATCCTTAGGCCCTATGACTCAATTTCTCTTTTCTTTTCTTTAAAATTCGATGGCCATAAATCCACTCAGATGTCTCCTGTAACTGTTACTTCTAACAAAATTTGCCATTATTTGGTCCTCGAAAATTAAACCATGTGTGTCTTTGCAGGCAATAAGTAATTCTAACATACCCTAACAATGTAAGTGTTGGAAATGATTCATAGCACAGTTGTAATTTTGTCGCATTACTCTCTTTGCAACTTACACTTCACATGTTCGGTCTTTGCTTCTTTTTCCAAGTTTGTAATAATTATCACCAACTCATGTTTAATACATGACTAGTGTTAAACCAGAAGTTTTTTTTCTTTTTTTTTTAAGTTGAAGGAAGTCTTGTGTTACGAGGCCATTACTCTCTCCCCAAAAGACTAACTTATTAAGGTGTGCAGCGCACCCGTTTATATAACCAGGACTCTCCCCAAATCTCTTCGATGTGGGACCTGACAACTCTCCCGACCAATCCATGACGCCCCCATCACGGGTGGCCCACTAAAGGGGCCCACCGATTAAGCAAACTCGGGTCTGACTCTGATACCATTTTGTCACGAGACTATTACTCTCTCCCCAAAAGGCTAACCTATTAGGGCGTGCAGCGCACCCACTTATATAGCCAGGACCCTCCCCAAGTCTCTCCGATGTGAGACCTGACAGTTGGCTTGTGAAATTGTGGGTAACACTATTGACAGAGTGGAATTAATAGTTAATAATAAGTGACTTGTGGATTCACATGCTCTTTCATTCAACCCATATATATTATAAGGGGCATTATAAATGTATCAAATAATGATATTAATAGAGGCTGTCATTATTTGTCAGCTTTCCCCTTATAGTATGTGCGAACAAGTTGTTTTTGGAAAAAAAAACTTAGGATTAATTGCAATATGCTTTGTATGATCAACAGATCATATGTGAACTTGGAGGCTATCTCAATCAGGATAAAATTGCTTCCTCTCATAAAAAAATTTATCTAATTTTTATTTTTTTATAATTGTGATACTCCAATAAGTCCATTACAAAACTAAACACAATATATTTTACTATATTGTGTTTCCATCCATTAATTAACTTTCAACTTTGTTTATCTTACAACAAACTTCAACGAATGATATTCAACATGAGAAACTATGAAACTCAATGTTTTGTTGATTCTTGTTGTCTTGATTTCAAAATGTCTTTTTAATAAACATATCAAAATATTTTCCTGTAGAGAACAAAAATTAATTCAAGAAATTCTTTGTGCTTGAAAAATTCTGAATTCAATTATCTTTTTTCTTATTCTTTTAGTATACTATATGAAATTATATTTTTCTTCTTTTTCTTGATACTATATATATAATAGAATTTAAATCCTATGAAGTTGGGATACGTGAGTATTAGTGAAGTTTGCCTTTAAAAAAAAGAATATTTTATATCTTATAAAAAATAATAAAATGATGAAAAATGCTAAAAAGGGCAAACTTCAATGACATATTCACATATATCAACTTTATAGGATTTAAACCCCTCTATAGTGTGTATGAAATTGCTACTTATTTCATATTAGTATTTTACTTTTCTAAAAATTTGGCATGTGGCAAGTCTCATTAAATCCATCCACATTTTTTGTGCTCCCTCAAATCTTATTTATAAATCATGCGAATTAAGAAAAGTAGTTAAAATTAATCAAGAGTCTTGATTTTTTTAAATTTTTCATAGAAATCCCAAATTACCCTTAAAATTATTAACTTCACTTTTAAATTTTAAAATCAAACATGCCGTCCAAATGAACAAATAGGATATGTGGACATTTTTGAAAATAACCCATTAATGTTTCATTAAGTTTTATAAGGTGTCTTATATTAAGTACCAGGCAAAATTTTTAGAAAGTGCCTTATATTAAGGACAAGAAAGAGTACATCATTATTACTTCAATTCAATCCTTTTGACTTACTAACATTCACATGGATAAGTAATAGTCATAAATGAATCTGAGTATTTGGCATCAATTCAAGGTGTTGTATAATAAAGTTCTGATTTAGGGTTAAAACAATGACAAAGCATTTGGAACTCCAATCATGTAATGAAAAGGTGTAATATCTATTAGTGTAAGTTGACAATAAGCATTTAATTATAGAGATATAAGTTTTTTTATTCATTAGTTGAAATATAATTTTAGATAATAAAAATTCAACTGATAAATTAAATATTCTTCCCAAGATTCATTTACCAATATGAAAATTCATTTAATATTCATTAATAAGAATCCAGAAGCACATATCCTGCTGATCTCACTGCAAATTAAAATGCAACGCAAACTAAAAGGGGCATGACAAAGCATTTTGCAATTCTGCCATGGAACAACTTCAGAAGTTTACATTAAGAACAAAAAAACAAAGCGCGAAAATAGACAACAAAGATTTTGGGAAAAAAAACTTATAAAATAAAATTTTCCTTCGAACACTTTACGAGCCATATCAAAATGACTCCGTAAAGCTTTTTTCTTGAGGAAACTTCATACTGGAGAGAGAAGATATATGTCTCTTGCCGCTTCTTTGAATGTTTCCTCCACTGAAAATAATGCCCCAGCTGAATTATTTGCCTTCAAAAGCTGACCAAAACAATGACAAATATAATAAATAATTAACATACCTAAAATGAAACTAATACAATTAAAGGTTGTGCTTGGAGATCGATGTATATACATACACGAGCTTGAATCTTATAGGAGCTGTTATAATCATCAGATGAGATGTTGGCAGACAAAACCTGAATATTGTGCTTCTGAAGAGCATAATAAATGGCACTGTAAAGGCCTTCCTTATTGGGAAAGCACATGCTAAACTGAGCATCTTCACCGCAAATGTTCACTACCACGTTTGGGAAAATCCAAGTTCGAAGCCCTATTGGATTTGGATTGGCTGTGCAGGAAGAAGATCCCTGCAGGCGAGCTGTTGTGAAGGCGCCACTAGCAACATTACCAGTGGGATAATAAAAAGCCAAATTGGATGCAGATAATCGGAGTCTCTCTCTCTTCAGCTTTTCCAAATTTTCAAGAGTATCTTCTAGGGTTTTGATGTACTTCATCGTTTCTTCAACAATGGTTGCCTTGTCTGCCTGCACAGATTAAACAAGTACATGTTCAATTATATGATTTGTTCATACCCATCTATTCACGTATATGTTGATTGAACTAAAAGACGAAATTAAACTCTTGAAAAATAATTTACCTTGACATGATGAACAGAAGGGACCAGAGTTTGAAGTTCTCTGAGATAAAGCCTCATCCTCTTCCTTCGTTCTCTCTCTGATGAGGCATGAGATTGATGATCACGATGATCTTCTCCACCATCAACTGTGTTAATAGCTCTCTTCCCTCTCAATGATCTATCTGCTGTACTAATTTCGCCACTGTTATCTGAATTAGATAGAGTTTGCTCCTCTTGATGATCAGACATGGTTTGTTCCTGCAAGAGGAAGAAGTTTTTGTCTATGGAGATGCCAACAAGAGAGAGATTGATGATGAGAAAGTCACAACAGAGAGAGACATTTATAACGTTGAGATTCCAGGATAGATAACAAAGATACCTGTGACGGAAAATGTGAGGTTTGGCTAAAACGCAGTTTACATGACGAGGCACGCATACATGCATGTATGAAATGAGCTGTAACTATGATTATTTCTTTTCTGAGTATACGTTTATCATTTACAGTTACAAAAACACTACACGTGAAATGACCAGGCTGAATATATATTAGCTGGCTAAATTATAAATCTTACCAATTAATTTTATTAATGTTCACGATCAGGTGGCTGAAATAATTATCAGACGCAAAAATAATGAGGCACAATGGATGTATTCTGGTTGGACTTAGATCAATTGTCTAGGTTGGGTAGCCTTCTAAGAATAATTAAGAGAATTTCTCCTTATAACAATAACAGAGAGTTGCATCGGATGGCTTTTCTTGTCATCATCAACCCAAATTTTTCAGCTAACCTCAAAACTATATGGCTTTAACAATTAATCCAAAACTTGCTAGGTTTAAAACTGATGTAAAACTTCTAGTACGCAAGCCCACAGTCGAAGCTGGAATTCACAAAATTCGGCACCCAACTTTAGAATTGATAGATTTTTTTTTTCAAAAAAAGATAAAACGGAAAGGCCAGAGGGTTAATGAAGACCAACAAGCAAGTTCTAAAGACAGCAAGTGTCTACAATTATGAATAGGTTCCGTTGAAACTATAATGATGACTTCCAATATTTTCCTAAATTTATTAGTGTTTTTAATGTAATTGAAAATCATTTATTTAAATTTATTAACAAAAATTTGATTAAGTGGATGATTATTTATGAAAATGGACATGAAGATGTAATTAAAGTTAGTGAACTAATTCTACATTAATTCTAATCTTTACATATGTAGGAAGGCCCAATTTATAGCTCAAAGATGAAAATTTTGAAGCTTAAGTCCAAGAAAATAAATATAAAAAAAAAATTTACACAAGTTATGTTTGTTGCAACAAAAATGCATTTCATTACAGTGAAATGCAATTTTAGTAAAACGCACAGTTTTGATCTCAAGGGAACTTTTAGGGTTTGGCAACCTCATTCTCAATCACCTCACTTCTAGCAGTTGCAAAACATTCAGGGAGAGAAAAAAGAGTCAAAAGAGGGTTGAAAAAGCTTGGATTTAGTAAAAAATAAGTTAAAATTGCTCCGATTAAACTTTTATTCTCTTTCTTCTTTTTATATTGTTGATTTTTGCTACCATTAGGCTATGTGTAGCTGATTTTCTCTTAATCTAAGGTTGCTATGAACTAATTCTTATTTTAGAGCATGTTTGAATCATTTATTTTAAGCTAAATATGAGTTTTGTTTACTTAATTTTGTGCTTATTTATCTATTTAATGTTTGGCCACTATTAAGTGTGAATTTAGGAGTTTAGGTTTTGCCTTGAAAGAGAAGAATCTGAATTAGACTATTAGATTGAGTAATATGAAATTATAATTATTTTTAATTTGCCAATAAATAGGAATATATACCTATTAAACTTATATAAATACATTAGAGTGAGTTTATGCATTTTGCCTGTTGGGTATTTGTGTTAAAAATAGCATATTAATTCAAGAGAAAAGTGTAATTAATAGAAAGATAATTATTCCTATTAATACTCCAGATTAACAAATTAATATTAAGTGTTTAGGTAATTACGTTCTATGAATTGGAAAGGGGATTAGCCACCCTAGGTTGTCTTGATCAACTGTGATTGTTGGAATTTTTATTTTAGTACATTTTTATATTCTTAATTTCTTATTTTTGCAAAATTAAATCCAAATCATGCTTTGCTCAACTTAAATAAAAGTGGAATTCATTACATATTTATGAGCATCATATAGCTTATGCGTCTATGTTATGGTAGCTCTTAGTAGCTAAGCAGCTTTGCCATAAAAATTCATAATAATCACGGATTTGGAATTCACAAGTGTCCTAAAGCCTCTCACTCAATGAGAGTATCTGCACTACAGAGGTAAGATTTTATCAATACTTAAAAATTCATGCTTCATAAAATGGTGAGTTAAAAAATGATTTTATGAAGATATAATTTAATTATTTCTCTACAATCATATGAACTATTCAATTAAGGTACATGGTAAAAGTTGTGATTTGGTGCTCTTCTTTTATACTGTGACTACATCGTTGATAGCCATTTGATTGAATCAACAATCACTATGGAAAACTCATTGAGTCACTTACCAAATTCAGATCTGAAACACTTAGAATAGACAATAGAGACGTGAAAAAAAAAAAAACAAAAAAAGATTGACAATAGAGCCTGTGCTTTCTTTTTTCTTGGTCTATATTTGCATGTCGTCATCTTCTATATGTTTCTCAAATGGCCGTTTACTCGATCTGCGCAATGTTCAATTTCATTTTCCAAAATTAATTATATAGTCGTTTATTTAACCAAGCATATTAATTTCCAATACTTTCCATCATTTTCTACACGAAAACAGTCCCCATAATTAAATAATATCATAAGCAATAGTTAGACGGATAGCATTTTCTAAACTCTGTAATTTCGTTATCATCAAAACATTATAATCATGATTACCAACAGAATCACGATGAAGGGCTAACATCATGTAATGTATTTAGGAGAAAAACCACTAATGTAAAGATGTTAATCTCTCTCTCTCTCTCTCTCTCTCTCTCTCTCTCTCTCTCATTTTTTATCGCTCTTTCTCCATCTACGATTACTTAATCAGTATCAATCTCATAATTGAGGGAAATCATTACCTCCAAAGTTCCTTGCCGCCGGGATGTGTGTGTGTGACAAGTTCAAACTTAATTTTCTAGCTAGGTTCTAAGTTTATGATTTCAAGGACAGAAAACACGATAATTTTGAGTTGGGACTTCCATTTTTAAATTCATTTAGCATTGGTCGAAAGTATTTTTGTTCCTTAGTTTTTCTGATATTTAATATTATCTAGCGAGAAGATAAATTGGACTATACTCGATGGAAAAACAAAGACAGTACGCAATATGAGAAGCTTATATTATAGGAAATCATTCTTAAATTCTGCCATGGAATCACATCTTAAGTTCACAAATTCAATTAAAAACATCAAACAGAAAAGAAATAAACGAAGATTAACAATTATTCCCCTGCCCATAACTAATACATATAATTAAAGCCATCAAATTAACAAGGCAAGACACAGAATAATTTCTTCAGCAGCTTGCTTGAATGTTTCCTCTGCTGATAATGCCCCAGGAAGCTGATCCGAATCTCTGTTCACCTACAAGATTCATCCAAAATAATCCTCATTCAGAAATCGTTTAGATACTCTCAATGTATTTTTAATTTATATGGCTATCTGATCAGTATTGTCGGGTTCTGTTAGGTGTAGCTCTCATGAAATACTTGATGCATCCACACAAACTTGAGTCTGAGGCTGGTACTGAAGCGATCATACCCCTTCCACTAGAGTCAACGGTTGTTAGTAAATACCCCTATGTATACTTATGGTGCATTCAATGAAAATGTAGATATTTGGTCAAAAAATTCCATGCAGAGATTGCTTAACAAATAAAACCAGAAGATATCTAAACTATTTTAACATGAAGGCATCATTAATACACACTTTGACATTTAACTCACTTTTCCATGAATAAATATATATGAAGCCATAATTAAGTATAATGCATATACTTACTTGTGCTTCAAACATATAGAACCTTCGACCATTATTGTCACATGTAATGTGGGCAAACAGAACTTCAATCTTGTACTTCTCCAGAACATAACAGATTGTGGTGAAAAGGCGCCACTTCTTGGAAGAGCACACACTGAATTGAGCATCTTGGCCGCAAATGTTGACGACCAAATTCGGAGAAGTCCAAGTTTGAAACCCTACTGGTTTATAACCATGTAGTCTTGCAGCGCCGGAGTGGGTGAGGACGAAGCTACTTGTTCAGCCATGAAGGCCTCTCTTGAAGCACCTGGGATGCCCAACATTAGAGACTGACGATCGAAGAAGTCGTTGCATCTTCGTCTTTTGCAGGTTTTCCAAAGTTTTCTCTAATGTTGTTATGTAGTTCAATGTTTCATCCACTACTGTTATTTTATCCGCCTGCAAAAAAGAAGATATATAATTGCAGATATCATAGTATTCGATTGTCTGAATTATTATAAAGAGCTCTGTAAAGTTGAAACACTTAATGTACCTGCGAAGGAACATGCGGAAGCATAGCTTGAAGGCTACCAAATAAATCGTTTATCTTCTTACGCTTCTCTCTCTCAGCAGTATCATCATCAGTTTCGTCACTACTACTAATAACACACTTCTCCTTCCCTCTTGTCGGTGAAGGGCCATTAGAATTGGAATTGTTTTCAGGTGGGTTTATGGGCATGTTCTTCTCCATGTCAGAATTATCTGAATCATTGGACTGGTTTTCCCTCTCTGGTTCTCTATCTGCAGACATGGCCTCAGATAGATGTGAAAGGTTAGTGTTGAAGAACACAATTTATAAAAGCATTTAAGTATGAAATGATAGGCTGGAGCACAAGGCTTGTTCTTCCAAGGATCTACATTGGGCCATAGTTGTACAGTCCTATATATTGGTAACTTATCCCTTCACATGGTTTTTCATCTTCCAAAGTTTCCACTAATAACATGTATCAGTAATATACAATGAACTAAGAGACTGTCATGAACTTCGTGGCTATCTAAAAGTGGGCAAAAGCCATGTAAACAGAAGATATTTGTAAAGGTTGCAACAAAGTTGATTGAGTGTTCAGATGAGAAGCAAGCTGTGGAATATGAATTGTGTGACCTCCTTCTGCAATGTAACTGATGTCTCACCTGGGAAACAGGACCTCATCACATGAAAAGCCATATATCAGCATCAGTTAAATCTCTTTGAACGACAGTTTCAGAATAAAAATTTAAAAGCATAGCTGTTAGATTAAGCCTTGCCGGAGATTCGCTCAGAAACGCGTGTTAGTCACACTGTCCGTGATGTGTTGTTCGCTCCCATTACATTTGGTTATGGGTTGCATGACGAATCACATGAAATACAATGTAGGATAGTATTTTAATTTCTTGTTACTAAAATCATAGTTGCTTTTTAATTTTTAAAGATTAATTTATTTTATTAAGTTAAATTTAATTATTTATTATTTAAATCCACTTGCGCTTTCCCTCCAAATCCCGTTTCATACTTCTACCCCTGTGTGGGCCTTGGTATCTTGCACTACACACCTACGTAGTCTCCAAACTCCAATAGCTTGAAAAATGAAGTTGGTGCTCATTTTTCTTTTAATATAAAGTTACGGAAAAGGTCAAAAACTGTGCAAGAGAATAATTAGCTGATGTCAGAACTAATGATGTTTCTACACCCTAAAGATAGATTGACAAAAATTGTAGTATTTAAATTATTGTTGGATGTATGACAATCAAACTAATCAATACATTATTTACTTTTTTTTAAAACATGTTCAAAAATTATAATTCAGTGTTTTAATTAAGTTTTTAATCTTATTAATATAGTATTGGAGAGAAGATGATTTCAATTGTATTCATATTTAATGAACATGAAAACTTCAATTAATTCAGAGTACATATTGATTTTAATGAAATTTTTATTTTAAAAAAGGCTAAATCCTTTTAAGATATTCATAAGTTGGTGCTCACTACGCCACAACAATGTAAATTTGCCATACTATTGAAATATAATTTGAACCATCTAAAATTTAAAGGTTTTAATATATATTTTTAAATAATCAAATTATGTTTTCACAAAATAACATTTACATTCTATATATTAGATTATACCATCTATAGAAATAAAAAAGCTATTAAAGTGTAAAATTAAAACAATATTAATTGTGGATCATCCAGGTTTAATATATCAATGGCTCATACTTGGCACTCGAGTAATGAATATCAGAACTAGGTACTTTTTTTGTCTTAAATTATAAAATATTTTTTTAAAATAAAAATATAAATTTTTAAAAATACCCTTCATTTAATAACCTTAAATCTATACTTAATTAGTATTAAATAGAGAGAGAGAGAGAAAAGATAATATTGAAATAAGTCTATTTAATAAAATATTAATTTTCTCAAAGTGCCTTATATTTTGTGACGACTAATCTCTCCCAAAAGTGTCTTATAATTTAAAATATAGGAAGTATCATTTATGCTTGTAAAAAAAAAATCTTCATTGGATTTTTGGATATAGCTAGCCTTTAAGGGTGTTCATTATGAAAGTAAAATTTGTATTGGAATTTTATAAATAGCGTCTTTCCTAAGATTCATTTAGTAATAGAATTTCATTTAATCATTAATCAGAACAAACTCATCCCAAGTAATATGGTTCCATCCAAAGGCACACATATTTTGTAATTCTGTCATGAAACAACGTAACTACTGAATCTTAAATTAAAAAGCAAGCACAAAAGTGGACAGCCAATATTGAAAGAAAGCTTATAAAAGATGTTCCTTTGAACACTTTTTGAGCCATCAAAGAGACACCAAAGATGAGTTGCCTGCAAAATGCCTCTGAAATTTGATCTGAACGCCTATTTGCCTTCTAAATTCAACAAAACAATGATAAATATTATAAGTAATCTTTTTTTAAAAAAAAAAAAAAAAGCGGTTGTGCTAGCACTAGATTGGGGTGCGCGCGCGTTCGCGCTTACGTGTGCTTGAATCATATACAAGATTATTATTTTTATCAGATGAGATGTTGGCTGATAAAACCTCAACATTGTGGTTATGAAGAACATAACACAGATGGCACCGAAGAGGCCTTACTTCTTGGGAAAGCACACGCGACTAAACTGAGCTTCTTTGCCGCAAATGTTCACCTACCACATACATTTGGTAAATCCAAGTTTGAAGCCCTATCTTTAATGTACTTTTTCAGGGTTTTAATGTACTTTTAATAGCTTCATCAACAATAATGATTGTCATATATTCCCTGATAGAAAATATGACAAATATTACTTTAGGAAGAAATGATTTATTACTTCTTATTGCTTTTCATTAGTTTATTAGTTTTGTTGCTTTTCATTTAACTTTTGTAAGTTTCCTTCTTGTGAAGGAAACCAAGTAGCAAGTGAATTTTATTGCTTTTCATTAGTTTATTTGTTTTGTTGTTTTTCATTTAATTTTTGTAAGTTTCCTTCTTGTGAAGGAAACTAGGCAGCAAGTGGACGTTTCCTTGTTAGGAAGGAAATCTCATGCTTATAAATAGCATGATTTGTGTATCCAAGAGGAGATATTGATGAATGAATGTTTGAAGCATTATGATTTTCTGAAAGTCTCTCTCTCCCTTTAGTTCTGCGTCTCTCTTTTATTCCCTCTCTCATATTTCAATCACTTCTCTCTCTTTTCACCTTCTCTGTTCTCACTTCCCCTCCACCTCCCACTCTCTGTTTTTGTTTCTTCTCCTTATCCTATTCTGTTCAAATCAATGAATGTGAGTGTGAGTTTGTGTGTTTTACATCATTCCCTCCTCTGTATTTGCAAGAAAAAAAAATTATATCACACAGTTCAAAAAAAATAAATTAACTATATTAAGTGTGTTTGTAAATAAAAAAATTGGACTATAATACCCTTTATTAATTATATTTATTAAGCTTTCATTAATTATCTCTTATGATTATGAATGGTAAAATTATGAGAGATAATTTAAAAAGTTTTCAATAAATACTTATTAAAAAAATGTAATTTTACTTATATAAAAAAAAAGCTAAAAGTGATAGTTTCTTTGAAGAGCCTCATCTTCTTCCTTCTTTATGAGAGTCATGATGATGATCTTCTACATCAACTGTGTTAATAGCTCTCTTCTCTCTCAGGGATTATTTCTCCAGATTCTCCAGAGTGTTATTTGAATTAGATAGATTTTTCCTCTGTTGATCAAACACGGTTGTTTATGTGTGGTATGAGGTCATATATTTTTTTCAATATTATTTTTATTTAAACCCATTGCTTATAGTAGAGAATGTAATGTAAATGTTAAAAATTCTCATTTAAATAAGAGTAAAATTAAAAGTTCATTTTATTTCAAACAAAACTAATAATTTAATCACCCTTTTTTGGTTTCGACGATATTATTAATAAAAGTGCCTTACAATAAGAATTAAAAGGAGTACATCAAAGAGATGATTGATAAGACCACTAAAAAAAGAGTAGTGGTGACAGAAATATGTGGGGTTGGATAAAAATAAAAAATATAATCTCAAGGTAACTGCAATCACATAGAGAATATGTGATTTATACATATGAAATGAGCTGGAACTAAGATTCTTGTCCTGGAGAATATGTATCATTTACAGTTACAAAAATGTTACATGTGTGAGTGATACTAGCTGAATATATATTAGGTGGCTACTTATTAGACCAATTAATTGTATAATTCAGAATAACAGCACTCCAAATATGCAGTGTGTGTGTGTGTGTGTGTGTGTGTGTGTGTGTGTGAGAGAGAGAGAGAGAGAGAGAGAGAGAGAGAGAGAGAGAGCTTGCGCTTTCTTTTCCTGGTCATTCTCTCTATATATTTGCATGTGAGCTTTATCCGCTCAAAAGGCCGTGTTTATATTAACGTATGCCCGCATCGATCTTCGCTATTAACGTTCAATTTCTTTTTCCGAAATCAATTATGCAGTTGTTGCTTTAATCATGCATTTTTTCTGTAAAGATCAAATAATTAATTTTTCCTTTTATATATATATATATATATATATATCATTTTCTACCAGAAAATTAACAATCGCCGCTAATTAAATATTATCTTGTGCAATCGTTAGACGTACGAAGCATTTATGTTCCTTAGTTTTCTGGTATTTAACATTTAGCGGGGAGGTAAAGGTTGGACTGTAATTGATGGAAAAATAAATACAGTAGTATGAGAATCTTGTAATAAGCAAGCACTCTTAAATTCTTCCATGGAATCACATCTTAAGTTCACATATTAAAACATCAAACATAAAAGAAATAAAGGAAAATTAACAATTATTCCCCTGTTGATAATGCATATTAAAGCCATCAAATTATGACAAGGCAAGAGCTTGCTGGGTAGATTTCAAGTGATACGCAGAATAATTTCTTCAGCAGCTTGCTTGAATGTTTCCTCTGCTGATAGTGCCCCTGGAACCTGATCCGAATCTCCGCTCACCTGCAAGATTCATCCAAATAACCCTAAACTAGAAATCGTTTAACTACCATAATTCAATGAAACTTCAGATTTTTTTTTTGTTAAAAAAAAATAAATAAATGCAGAGATTGCTAAATTCAAAAAGATAAAGCTTCATTAATACACTTGGCATATAATGTATGCTTACTTGTGCTTGAAACATATAGAACCTACGACCATTGTCACATGAAATGTGAGCAGACAAAACCTCGATCTTGTACTTCTCTAGAACACAGCAGATGGTGCTGAAGGGGCACCAATTCTTAGAAGAGGTTACGCTGAATTGAGCTTCTTTGCCACAAATGTTGACAACCAAATTCGGAGAAGTCCAAGTCTGAAATCCTACTGGTTTATTATAACCATGTGGACTTGCACTCGGAGTGGGTGATGAGGATGAAGCTACTTGTTCAGACATGAAAGCATCTCTGGAAGTACCACTGGGATGGCCAGCATTAGAAGAGACAGACGATCGAAGTGATCGCTCCATCTTCTTCTTTTCCAAATTTTCCAGAGTTTGCTCCAAAGTTGTTATGTAGTTCAATGTTTCATCCACCACTTTGATTCTGTCAGCCTGCAAAACAGAATATAAAAAGATCTTACTTAGAATTTCGATCGTCTGAATTATAAAGAGATCCCCAAAATTAACATGCATATACCTTGGAGGGAACATGAGGCAGCATAGCTTTAAGGCCACGAAATAATGCATTTATCTTCCTGCGCCTCTCCCTCTCAGCAGTATCAACTTCATCACCACTACTACTAACAAGCTTCTCCTTCCCTCTGGTCGCTGGGTTCATGTGCAAGTTCTCCATTTGTTTATCAGAATCATCTGAATTATCTGCAGACATGGTGGCTTCAGAGAGAGGTGTGAAAGGTTGGTGATGATGAAGAACCTATTTATAAGCATGAAATGATAGGGGGGAGCACAAGGATTGGTGGCTCATACAGTGGGCCATAGTTGCAACAGTCGCAGATTTCAATGTAGGAAATGATGAGTAGATGCTAAGTAACTTCCCTTTTCACATGGTTTTTCATATTCAAAAGTTTCTACTAATTTAATTTACTGGCCAGTAATATTAGGGACTGTCATGAACTTGGTGGCTAGCTTAGCTGTCTCAAAGTGGGTAAAAAGTAAACAGAGGAATACCCATACACCATACAGTTTCAACGTAACTTTGCTTATTAGGTTGCAACGAAGTTGAATGAGTGTTCACGTGAGAAGCAAACTGGCATATAAAATGAATATGAATTGTGTGACCTCCTGTAATGTAACTGATGTCTCACCTGGGAAACAGAACCTCATCACATGAAAAACCACATATCAACATCAGTTATATCCCTTTGAGTAACAGTTTCAGAGACTAAATTTTTGAACCTATCCCAAGTTGAGTAAACTTCTATCTTCTTAGACCAACGGAGTTAGATCTAGTAAAAAGAGTTAATTTTTCATAACAAAAAGAATCAAGAGGTGCCCAACCCATATTTAGTATCTAACCATATACATCTCAAATAGAAATTGCCTCTAATAAGAGGACATGCATGTGTGCAATCAAAAAAACTTTTATTTTCTTATAAGGTGGCATCTCCTCAACATTAATTGCAATGAGATCTATACTGTTCAAATATAATTTGGAGAGTTTAAATTTAAATACGTTAATATATATTTTCTAGGTATAGAAATAAAAGAATTAAAAGGAACTTTTAACCTTAGACTATATTCTCAAGAGCATGAGGTATTTGTTATTGTGATTGGTTAAAAGGTCCAAAAATAAAATAATATTAATTCTGGACCATCGAATTTTAATATTCATGATTCAAATTTGGTGATGAGCACCCGTACCCATTACAATTATGTGAATCTGATCAATGCTTGGCATCAACAGATGGTAATGTTTTAAGTTTCTACTTCATGGGATAAGTGTAGAACAAATTTGTGGTTAAATTGTGGCGAAACATTTGAATATTTGGAAAATTCATTTAATTAGACCAAATTTGGTTAAAATATTTTTGTTACTAAATAAACAGGATAGGTAAAACATTTTTTTTTTTTTTGGAAATCATATAATGGGAGGGATATATCAACTTTTGTTACTAAATAAACAGCTGGGAATGTGATTCTATCCTAATATTGTTACTTATTTGACTAATGCTCATCCACCATGTGAGGAGAGAGGAGAGGATAAACATTTTTGGAAACTGGCTACTGGCGGTTTTTTTTTTTGTGAAATCTTCTTTTAATTTTTTAGATATAGGTACTAGAAGAAATGTGGTTAGCATATGGAAGATCCTTTGGCAGTGGCCAATTGCCAAAAAAAAAATCAAATCATTCATGTGGTTATCCACTCATGGCAGAGTTCATACATCGACATTACAAAGAAGCTGAGGACTTGATGTAGAGCAAGATTGTCCTTTGGTTGCAACACGCAAGTTGAAATGCACCTACTCAAGGACTGCCCACATGCTTTGGAACATTGGAAGACTGTTGTTAGCAATGAACAGTGGAGCAATTTCACCAATATGCAAGGCTCTGAATGGCTAAAATGGAATCTTCTTAATGAAATTGGTGTAGTTTATACTAGTAAGGTTCAACGGGATGTTTTTGTTTCGATACATTTGTTGGGACATTTAGGTCTTCAGATGTAGGAAAGTTTTTGATGATGAGTTTCAAGAGGCTAGATCTTGTGACCAGTCGTCTTTCTTTCGTGCTGCAGTTGATGTTGATTTAATTAGGAAAGCCCCTTTTTTGAGTTATGAAGAAAATGTTAGCCGGACTAACTTGGCCTAAAGGGAGGGTTTTATCAAGTTGGAAGCTGATGGGACTGTGAGCTTTAATGGTAATATTGGGTGTGAAGGAGTTATCTTGGACGAGAACGGTGGATGAAAAAAAGGCTTCCGTTGTAAACTAACTCCAATCCCATTGGCCATAGTAGAAGTTCTTGCTATTTTTCAGGGACTTGCTCTTTGCTTCAATTATGGTTATAGGAATATCCAAGTAATTTCATAGTGTTGACGCGATAAACCTGATAACCAGAGACTGCAAGGAACAACATCATTCCAAAGACATTATTGATGACACTAGAATGTTGATTCATAGAGATTGAAATGTAGTTTTTACTCATCTTTATAGAGAAAAGAATGTTATTGCTGATAGGTTAGCTAAGTTGTCTTTCAATTTAAATACTAATTTTTCATCTTTGATCATCCTCTAATAAGTGTTCAAGGGTTGGAGAATGATGAGGGATCCCCCCACAATTTGAATTTGGTGGTTATAATTTGGTTTGATTTGTAATGTATGTTTCAATTTATTCCCAAAACAAAAAAAAAAAAAAACTCACTTCCCCTCTCATTTCCCTCTCCAGCTCCCTTTTCATCAAAAATATTTACAGGATACCAAATGGCTTAGTGTTTGGGATGATAATTATGTATCCAATCTCTTCAAAGGGAATATTAAATTTCCAAACAAACATTTTGTTACTCCTATGATCTTCAAAATTGAAAGTTACTGGTTTATCTGGATGGAGGGAGGGGGAAAATAAACTTCAGCCGTCTCCTTTTTTGCGCATGAATGGAAATAGATCAAGACTTTATCGCAGCACATATCCTGTAGTTCTCACGTCTCTGGAAATGTACCTTGAAGGTCGTGGATCTCAATGACCCTCAAAATCTTACAGAGAAGACTTCGGATATAATCTGAATTAACAAGGAATTTGTTGATCCTAAGGCATTCAGCTTGCCCACCTCTGATACCATCCACTTAGATCTTAATCATCTAGTCATTTGTTTTGCAAAGTCGCTTTATTTAAAACAAAAAACAAAAAACAAAGATTGGACTAGCCAAAATTGACACTTCCCTCTGAAATGTCATGCTAATACCAAAGATTCTGCAGAGAGAACCAGAAAAGAGAACTGCGAAAGTTGAAGATTTCTCGGATTATTAGAAGAGCTTTAAAATTATATCTAATTAAATAATGATTAAGTTTCATCAATAAAAAAATACATTTTAATATATCAAAGCAAATATCACAAAAATATGTTTAATATCAATTTGATTGACTTATCCATTAGGGTTTAATGACTGATTTCAAAGCAAATATCACATTTTCGTTCTCCATAGAAAATTCCTACACTAACGTAGTTTTTGAAGGAATACCCCAATAGTCGTGTTATTAGGTATCTAGTATTATCCTATTTAATAAGAAAATTTAACAAAATATTAAAAAAAAATACAAGTACCACTGGAGACAGGCACTACTTGAATTATGGCAGACTAGTCTATCACATGCATCTCCAGTAGGCAGCCAAGGTATTCTACATCATCCTTATCAACAGGCATCAACAAGAAACCTAAAATTGAGATAAAGTTCAAGGGTTCTTATATCATAAATTAACTGTAATTATCCATTAAAAAGTATATATAGAACTCCCGTATTACTCAAAACACCAATTTCTTTACTCCCTTTGTCTTTTTTTACCCCTTTTTTTTTTAATTGAGTTTCCTTTCCTATCCACATATGGACAATTCCAGTCTCCTTCAATAAGCGGCAGCAAGTTCATCAAATGAAACAAAGCTAAGGTCTAAAGGCATGATATGACAGTTCTTTTAGGTCCAAATGATAGAGATTCTACATCATGTTGCTAAGGCCGTTGTTTTGCAAATGGGGCACAGGTTCTTCTGCTTTAGCCACTTCTTGATGCAGTTGGTGTGGAATTCATGTTCACAATCTAGTGAGGCTACATCCTCCCCATCAGTGTATTCCTCCTGCCATTGTTGGACAAATAAATGCAGTCATTTACAGGCATGTAAAACTTCTGAGGTATGACTTAGGAGCACTATTAGACATCACTATCAGACAACCACTGTAAATACCTGACAGATACAACAAGGTTCGAGATCTGTTGAAGGCTCGGCCATTACAGACACGTAGATCCGATGTTTCATCAACTTCATAATGGTATCCTCACTCAATCCAGTGCTCACATCTCCAATGCGCTCCTCCAATGCCAGCAATTCCTGAAATCCAAGTGACACTTGAGAGAAGTAACACAAGGGTAAGATATATTTCCCTCTCCCATGAGGAAAGGTTTAACTACATAGCCTCTCAACTTGAAAGCTACTATACTACAACAACCCCCAATTTGACCAAGGGATCTGCCTGGCTCAAAATTCTACTGGTCAAAGAGCCAATGCCATAAGTTTTCACTAAAATACCCTCCATTAATAAGAGGATTTGGGACAATAAGAGGACTCTTTTATTGGACTTACTTGAAGCATCTTTTGATTTAAGAGAAATTTGTGTCTGTTTATAATTGACAAACTATCATAAAATTCTCTCAAGGAAGATAAATGTATTTTACCCAGCCAAATTTTGTGTGGAATGGAAATTAGGAATACAATTTCTTTTCAATGAAAGATGTAAAGGAATACAATCTTTCATTCTTTTACCTCATAAGACATGTTATCAACATCAAGGCGCATGTCCCTGTGCCTATCATGAAGTTCAGCCATACCATGATATATGAACGGGTCAAAGAGCATATAATCCTGAATCACAAGTAAGAAAGCAAACATTTTTCAAGTTAGTATTCCCAATTCTCAATAATCAGTATAGAGTTACTAAGTCCAACTTAAATATTGCCATCACAAGCTGCCAGGACAGAGTTTAATTCACAAACAACACACATCATAAGGATTAGGTTGTCAGAATTGCACACCCACTTTTAGGTGCGAACCGAAATTATTATGAGATAGGGGATATATCAAAGCCCTTAAGCTCAGCATCTGAACTTAACAAAGCATATAACTGAATCTGAAGAACTTAAAACTTTGACTTTCACATACATTCATGTTTTACTAACCAAGCACAAAATCAAGCCAACTTTATCCTAGGTAGCAGTCAAAACCAAGCATCCTGAGATAAGACTGGCATGAACTTGACATTCAGCATAAAACTGTTTCCATTGCAATGCTCAACATAAGGAAAAGCACAACTACCTCAAAAACTGTAACTACACACAAACTTATATCCTCTACATGAAAACCTAACATGGGAAGCTGCATATGCCAACTAGACATTTCCATTCTTAGATTTACTAAGATAACAATAAAAGAAAAATGAGTAGCATGCACATCAATACATTGTCAACAGCAATGAACCAATGACAATAATTCCAACATAATATGATGTCATTGTCATCAACTGTATATATATAAGACTGTGAGCAAAAACACAAACCTCAGCTCGTAAGTTCTCACCCCTGCGCATTGCACTTAAGACTTGGCGAATCTGGCCAAAAAAAAAAAAAAAGCAACATATGCAGTTAGTTCAGGTTGGACCAGCTTGCCACCAAATTCAAACTAACTCCAAATGATTTATCAGATTTCAAATGATCAAAATGTCTGTTTACTGCCAGTGAATTATAAGAAACTAATTTGAAAAGAAGATTAGAAAATTAGAAATTCATTAGGAAGCAAACAGAAATTAGATGACAACTTCAGGGAAAATTGCTTGCTCAAGCAATGGTATAAATGAGTGCTAATCTACGCTATGGATTCACTAATTCATAATTCCTGCCTCCATCTGTCTTGTATATTACAAAATGCTTCAGATTGTGAGAAGAATAAGTTCTAAGTCACCATTAAACGGCATAGCCTTTAAGTAATAATTCAAGCCATTCTGACAAAAGGAAAATATAAACATAACAAGTATAATACCTCAGATATCAATCGTCGTCTCCCCTCAATGTCAACAGCTAAAGCCCGCAATGAATGGGGTGCATTAAGAACTTCATCACCTCTTCTCTCCATCAATGATGCTAATCTTGGATATGATTGATGGTTGCCCATGTCTGGAATAAAGGAAGGAGGGCCGGAAGAAGTAGAAGATGAGGCAGAATGAACATTATGAACGCCAGATACTGAGTTCATTGATGGAAAAAAGGACCAGGGACTGAACTCTGATAATCTTTGCTGGCTCTGTGTTGGAACTTCATGGGGAACAATCCAGCTCGGATTAGTTAATGAATTGACACTTGAACTGGGTCCAATCCAAGATGCAGGAGGTACACTTCCAGAATTGTTCACATTACCAGATGATACATGCCAACTTGTAGGATCAAGTCCAGAAGATGAAGGTGCAAGGATGGGGTGCTCTGTATTGTCTCTTGGAAAAATTCTAAAGTTCAATTCTTCACGAACTTCCCTTTCTGCAGAGTTATAAGAAGTAGATGAACCGGCTCCTCTTGAACTAGAAGCTCCACTCCAAGGAAAAGGATGTGTGTTCCCTGGCAAACCAGGGATGTGCGTAAAATGTGACTGACACTGAGGAGCGCCAGAACTGGCTGCTGTAACTCCAGCTGTTAACCTTAGCTCTAGAGAATCATTAAATGGGTGAGAGGTAGGTCTTTGGCGGGAAGAAGAATGATTAGAATGCCTAGATTCCTGTCGTTGTGGATAATTCATCCTCCTGTCAAAGTTTCTCAAGGGCCTGTTCACATTTCCCATAACTCCTATCAAAGGGAATGCATCAGAAGCTAGTTGCCTCATCTCATTTCTTGGATCCTGCTCTACTGGAGGATTAGTAACAAGAACATTCTCAGAAGGTCTAGACACATTTAAACTGCTGGAAGCATTATTAGAATTGAAAGTCCCAGTAGGCCAGCAACTGCTTTCAGCTTCTAGAAAAGAGCTTGAACTTCCTCCAGTACACAGCTGCCCAGAAGTACTTTCAAGAGCCTTTCTCTTGCAGGAAGAACCCCAATTAACTAAAGAAGAGCTTGAATTATCATTATCTCCCCCAACAATGTAACCAGAGCTTCCAGATGAAGTTCCTACATGATCACAGGAAGCACTACCAAATGATGTATGCTTACTAGTGAATCCATATGTATTGTGAATACTATCACTGCTACAAGGTTCTGTTCCTTTCCCATGATTAGCAGGGCTGGCAATGGAACCCATATTTAAAGCCGCATTCTGGGTTCTATGATTGGAGCTGGAACCTTGCAAGAAGAAAGGCTGAACTCTGGATTGATTTCCACGTAAGTCAGTATTTGAGCTGCCAGGGAAAGTTACATTATTTGGATCAAACTGCCGTTCTTCTGTTCTTAGAACATCCTCAGTAGAAACACCACATGAAGAAGACCAACCATGTTCAGCTTTTAGCCCATCATTATTGACTTGACTATGAAGATTCACACTAGAACTAGGTTCACCAGCATTCCATCCACCAAAGTTCTGAACATCAGGATCACTAGTGCATAAACATGCATTCTCACCAGAGGATCCCAGAAAATCTGACAGCCGAGCATCAACTGGATTTTGCATGTGATTCAAGGAAGTCTGCGGATCCATATCAGAGCCACTAGAACTAGGCTCCTGCAACATACTTACAATCGCTGGAAAGGAGCCAAGAGTCCTTCTGTTACCTTGCATCGGATATTAATTTATCCAACCCGATTTATAACCAGATAACCAGCTTCTCAACTTTCAAGCTAATCAGAGATGCACCCAAGATCACAGAAGTAACCTGCACAGAACACCTTTTTCCTTGAAGCAGAACTGTAGGAGTTTTACCATGCAGGAACAAATTTAGATTTTTTTCAGCAAAATTAAATCACAAACAATTCTTAGAAACAGGAGAACGAACTAGAACATTGTCATAAAACTGCTACTCGTGAGATCAAAAATCTCAAAAAGTGATGGTATATTCTTTCGACAAGGCCGCTTGTCACTGATGAAATCTATAGGAAATGGACTTGCTGGTGCGCACCTGATTTTCCATAAAGATATTTAGGAGGGTGGAACGGAAACCTTAAAACAAAGTCTGACCTTGTATGAAATGAGGATGAATAAATTCTTGAGGATGCTTAGGATACGAAAATCATGTGGAATACGAGATACTAGATCTCTCCTAGTGCTATTCACAAGCTCAGAAACCTGTAAAAACAACTTGGCTTTCTATTTCTGGGTGTTAATTGTACGCTCAATAAAGTTAACAGTAAGAGTCCTGTAGTGAACGACAAAAATATAAAACCACGTATTAACAAGTGCACAGCGTCCCGAGGGAATGCTTTTGCTCACCACATTCTCACCTCCACCAACGATGCAACAGGAAACATCAGTATCTTTAGGCACAACAGGCTAAGATAACACATAAGCTTGCCAATAATCACGAGGGGAAAATCAGTCAGGCCGAGATCACCCAGACAATTAAGAAGTGAAGCTTCACAATGCTCAATTCTAGGTTTCTGGGGTTCCAATGTCAAATCCAGCAGCGAAAATAAAAGTTGCCAGATTCAAACTACAACCAGCAGAAACGAATCGAACTTTGAAGGCTCCCAGAAAATACAGTGTGCTTCGGATCAATTGTGTATCTCAAAAGAAGCGGAAAAAAAGGGGGGGCAAATTGAATGGCTAAAACCTAGCGGGTCGACGCGATCCCTCCACCCCAACCCAAGGAAGGGGATAAATTTCCCAGTAAAAAATGCAATCCACACCTCTCTCTCTCTCTAGGGAAAGGGAATATTATCAGAGAATCATCGTGATGAGCACAAGCATACGCGAATCAGAATTGAGTCAGATGGAAGCAAATGCAATAGAAAGGGTGAAAAGGGGTAAATTACCAGAAGAGGATCCCGAGAATCCAAATGGGTCAAGCAGAAGCGCCTCCGTTTCTGCTTTTTCTCTCCGATTCTCCCCTCTCTCAAATTTTGGTATTTTTATCATCACAGAAGAAGCTGATTAGAAGGCGACAAAGAAGAGAACCATGAAGGTAAAAAACGAGAGATTAAGGGCGGAAGTGGGGAAGTGAGAGATTAAAGGAGGAAGAGTACAAGCACAGTAATCCTAACATCTAATTTAAGATTTTGATTCATTTCAGAGGGAGAGAGAGAAGGCCATTGGGTTCGGTCCTGAGTGGTGGCCTGATAGGCGCCATTCTTCGTACACGTAGCTCGCATGAGGCCATGTGGGTCCCATGTGGGTTGAAATTACATCGCTGGTTGTGAAATTCGCGTTTCTTTAGATTCAGAATATTCGCTCTAAGCTATGTCATGCCCACTGGTTTGAAAATCGGACCGGACCGGCCGGTCGGACCGGTCAGATCATCGATCGGTCTGGTTTCCGGTCTGATTTAAAGGAAAAAACCGTTTTCAGAGTTGAGCCGGGTTGAGCCGTTTCGAACCGGCGGTCGGACCGGGAACCGGATTCGGTTTTCAAAAACCGGACTGTTCAAAAAAAAACTTTTTTTTATTTTTTATCAAATTTTTTTAAAAAATGACTAATTTTTTTAATCATTTGATATTATAGTGTATCATATAGCTTGTTAAGTCATAATAAACTTAAAATATTTAAGTTTTTTAAGTTAAATAGCAATTTTATATGTATTTCTTATATTTAAATTATTATATACATATATAATTTTTTTTAATTTAATTATTACGTTACCGGTTGGACCAATGGTCCAACCGGTTGAATCATGCGAACTGTGAACCGCTGACTTTTCCGGTTCAATGTCCGGTCCGGTTCTGAAAACACTGGTCATGCCTTCCCGCACAGTGAGGAAAAAATGATTAAACGTTTGTCTAATAACTGATAATAGGAATGCAAAATATTAGATATGTAAAAAAAAAAAATTGACGCAAAAGTACCCGTCATAACGATGTTCATGCTATTTGACTGGTTCAAGATAAGGCAAAAGAAATTACATCATGTAAAAAAATTCGGAATTTTATCATAGGTTCAAGATGAAAATGGTTGGAGTTCATATAATAGTCCAGAAAATGTTTTCTTGACCGATTCGTTATTGGTAAAAAGAAGTGGTTTGGGTAGAAATAAAAATGAAAATGACACTTAAGAATATGTTTAGAATGCAGTGAAAATGAGACCCAAAAAAAATTAAATTTAATAAATGTATTTATATTCTGAAAAGATTAAAATATTCTTAAAATTATTAAAAAAAAAGTCGCATCATCTTCATCATCTGGCGGTGTTAGAACCTTGAACCAAAGGGGTGCAACATTTTTTTTAATTTCAACTGTATATATTTAAAAAAAATTAGAACCCAAATATCTTTTTAAAGTTTGGTTATGGTTAGTGGATGCAAAATATTTGGGCCAATGAATGTAAAATGATAAAATATATAACCTTTTTTTGTAATTTTTTTAAAATTCAAGGAGTGCATTACACATAGCGCCGCCCATGTTCATCGTCCATCATAATGTTTTAAAACCCGGACTGACCCGAACGGTCTGACCGGTTGAACTGTCACCCGAAAAAGAAAATATTTTGGTTCAATTATTTGGCCCGTTCTGGCAGTTAACTCGAGTTGGCCCGCTTTGACCCGAGCGGTTCTTAAAGACCTAGAACAAAAATTCGAAATCTGGAATGGTCGAACCGTTTTGACCCATTTTTTAATATATATATATATATATATATTATTTTTTATTTAATTATTATATCACCGATTCAACCACCAGTCTAACCGGTTGAATTATGAAACTCATGATCCATTGATATTTTCGATTCATTATTCGATTCAGTTTTTAAAATATTGATCCATTGCAAGTACGATTGCCATTTCCACCAAACCTCAAAATAGGGCTGCGCCTTTTTTTGTCCCAAGCATGGAGATCTTGCCAAAGCTCTTTCATCATCAAGTCCTCTCTAACAATTCCCATCCGGTGCTTCTTCCCCGTTGACGCATAGTCATGCTCCAAAATTAGTCACTTGTGCTCAGCAAATCATCACGAGCAAATTAAAGAGCCAAATTTGAGAAACTCCATCATGGTTGCTGCCTCACAACCACTATCGTCAAAGAAGCAAATCGAAGATGTCATTGATGAAGCTCTGTTGTCAGCCACTACCATCGAAGAAGCAAATCAAACATGGCTTACTTTGCTACCTTTCACTTCCACTGTTAAGTGTTAACGTTGCTGATCTTGGAAAGGTGCTCTTCAACGATGGTTGGGAGTAGCCATTGCCCATCAAGCATTATCAAATTATCCTCCATGTAATCATTGAGTCGATGGGCCTATCTAAGGAACTCAATTTCATCAAATTTGATGGAACTCTCTTCCCTAAAAACTCAACTCATGCGAACCAAATAAACAAGTTTATGGGTTTCATTTTCACTTTCATTTATCTTCCTCCAATTCCTTACCACCAAAGTATGCTGAACTTGTTGATTCGCTTGTTTTTGGTGGAAATAGAGCGTGTTGTTGCTGACAAGGATGATTATGTAACCCAAAGGCTGGAGAGGTTACGCAAGTTCCTGAATCAAAAAGTGTTTGTTCGAGCATTCTAAAATCTGGATCTGGGCTGCCTTAGACATTATTCATGCTATGCATGAACATAAAATCTGTGTTCAATGGAAGTGTATTCACGAAGCAGCGGATCTTGGAAGGAACTGGAATTTTCAAGCTGTGATTTCGGTGGTTGATGAAAATGATCTTCATATGGCATGGTATAGTTTGATTTGGCATAGCGGTGGAAATATTTTGTTTGGTACAAAGTACAGATACCTTCTTCAATAACCCCTCATTCAGATTTAGATGAAATTTTTTGGGATCCTAAGTGGTTCACATAGGCATCAACATCAACACGTGAGAAATCATGTGATGGTAAAAAGTCCAAACGTTGTTTATATTGTTGCTGCCTTTGAAAGCCTCATGCTGATAACTAGCACTACTTCAGTCCTCCATTAAATGTAAGTTCATTGATTTATTTATGTAAAATTCTAGAAAACGACTAAATTTGTTAAAAAAAGTATTTTTATACAGTTAGTAAAATTGAAAATTTAAAAAAGAATTGATTATAAAATTAGGAAGATTCATTTGTAAAAATTAAAAGCCTGGTTGCAAGTCAATTGTGAGTTATAAAAGCATTATAAACACACAAAAAATTGATTGTAAAAATAAAAAAAAGGAAGAACTCAATTGTAAAAAGTAAAAAATCAGTTAGTTAATTTCTTATGGGATAATATTAATTACTTTACATCTGTGAAAAATCATTTCCAATAAAACTTTTTACAATTTACAATTGCAATTTCCAACTTTCTTGCACTAGGCATTGAAAATTCGCTACAATATATAGTTTACCATTGATTTGCAACTAAACTTTTCAATTTTTAATAACCAATTCTTCTTATCTTTGTAGAACCAGTTGGTATTAAGAAAATTGAAGAAGTACACATAACATTTAATTACTCTGTTTAAAAGATGTAAGACATTTTTTAAGGGATTGGATATTTAAAAATATAAAATATTTTTAATATTTTAAGGTATAATCATTAATTTTTTTTAAAAAGTGCCACTAATAAAAAATTAATTTATATTTATTTTAGAGGAACACACTCTATTAAATAGGGATAAATGTAAAAGATGATATTAATTTAAAAATAAGTAACTACTTTATTAAGAGATAAGATTCGATTAAAAATACTTTATATTTTTAAATAGAGAAAGTACAAAATTTCAATTTAAGAAATAATGTTATCTTATTAGACAAAATGAAGATTTGTTAACATATATATTCGAGTTCAAGATATAAAAAAAAATGAATTAATGTTGATTTTTTTTTTAATGGAACACATCCTGTCAATGAATAATAACTAACGTTGGTTTTTTTAATTTAGAAAATTTTCACAATTCATAACTAACATGCAACCAATTTTTTTATTTTTACAACAAAATCTTTCAATTTTACAACTAAGCTTATGAGATTTTTATGATTAAGGTATGTTGTCGATTGTGTAAGAGCATTTATTTATTTATTTATTTTTTTAACCTCAATCTCTCCTGTAATTTTAAAAAAAGAATTGTGGTCTTTTAGTACAATTTTTTTGGGAGAATATCAATGAATGGGTCCCTAAAAAAATTTTATATCTTATAAGGATTTTTAATAAGTAAATACTAATAAATTAAGAACTAAAGTTATTATTTTAACAACTATTGATCAATCCAGAGTCTTTATTAGATATTAAATTATTTCAAAAAAATTTCATTGGTATTCTCTCTAATTTTTTCCTCCCTTATCTAATCATTGTTATGCCAATAAAGATTAATTTAATTAACCAAAATTTAGCTCATAATTTATAAAGTTGTGAGTTCATAATCAATGATGTGTCAGTATATTCATAAATAAGGGTGTTCAACTGATACTTATTTCGATTGGCTCGGTATTATCCCGATCATATCGAGACATGTCTCGTCTCAACCAGAAAATAATTGAAACAGGATAGGAAAGGGATTCAAGGTGTAACATCCTAATTTTTATATAACAAAGAAATTGTGGAATTTAGGTTTTGAGGAAAAAAATGATAATAATAGGAATTTATATTATTTGAGGTTATTTAGAAATAATATTATAATTTGGTATTTAATTATAAATTTAAAAATTTAAATTTAAAACCACATAAGCAATATTTAGTTAAGATATAATACATAAATAATTTTTTTTATGTGTGTGTTAAAAAAAAAGAGAAGGTAGAAAGAACAAAAAAAAAGGGGGGTGAAAGGTTATTGTTTCTAAGTCCCATGTTGGTTAGATGAGGGAAGAGAAGAGGTGCCTTCATGTATAAAAAGGAAGGGGTGTGTGTGCATTAGGAAGCATGAGAGGCTAAGATGCAATTTAAAGAAAATTGCAACTTTTGGCCCAAAGGTTTGAATAATTAAATTCAAACCTATATTTTTTTTTAATATAATTTTGGAACTCACAATCCCATTTTTATATTATTTTTCTCTCTTCCTCTCACGTTGCTCGGCGTCTTCTCGCAAGGGGAGATTATTTTTTTTTTCTTCAAGTATGTTCTAGCTTTTCTGTTTAGATTAGCATTTAAAAATTTATTTAATTA